TCTATCAATCAATCTGTCTGTCTATCTGTCTGTCTGTCTGCTTGTCTGTCTATCTATCTATCTATCTATCTATCTATCTATCTATCTATCTATCCGTCCGGGTTTTTCAAATTCATGTGCATGAATGTGCTACAGATGGTTCTATATAGAACTTTTTTGAAAAGGGTTCTATATAACACCCAAAAGGGTCCTTCTATTGTTACAAGCTTGACATTGTCATAACAGAAGAACCTTTTTTGGGTGCTATATTTCAAAATGGTTCTATATAGAACCATCTACAGCACATTCACCATCAGTCTGAAGAACCTTTCACGATGCAAAGAACCCTTTAATGCAATGCAAAAGATCCTGTGAGTGTTCAGGGTTCTACACAGAACAGTCTGTCTGTCTGTCTGTCTCTGTCTGTCTATATCTATCTAGCTGTCTCTCTATCAATCTATCTGTCTGCCTGCCTGCCTGCCTGCCTGCCTGCCTATCTGTCTATCTATCTATCAATCTATCTATCTGTCTGCCTGCCTGCCTGCCTGCCTGCCTATCTGTCTGTCTATATATCTATATATCTATCTGTCTGTCTATCTATCTATCTATCTATCTATCTATCTATCTATCTGAAAACAATTATTACTGAGTAAGGAGGAAAAAATTGATGTATTAGGGTGGGAGTTTTTTGGACCACGTCATAAATCTTTACATACTAACATCACACACACAAACTCAAAGTGGATCATTCACTCACATCCTCAGAGGACACGTCCTTCACCAAGTTCTCTTCAAATACTCTTTCAACACGTTCACAATCATCAGATTCATCCCCTCTGGGAAGTGATCAGAAGCACAACCCGCATTAGATGTGCTTCCACACATTGCATACAATTAGACATTTCCAACAGAGAGGTCTCCAAATCTTACACAGTGTGGCTTAAAATAAAGGTTATAATGACAATCTTTTCAAACTGGCATTAAGGCAACGTACTCAATATACTCAACACGCTTGGAGGAGAACACTAACTGATGGCTAATAGACGCCCACATTGGCTAGCATAGCGCTGTGTTACACGTAGAGAGGAAGGACCATCCTACTTAGCCAAAGAGAGCGAGGACAGTTATGCTTTGCTGAAATCACCAAAGATTTCTCGATGACAGGACCAACATTTAAACACTTCTGCCACAGCCAATCATGTTTTTTTAAGACTAATCAAAGCGTAAACACAGATATCTGCTGGCCTTTGTGAACAGGCTATGTAAACATAGTCTCATAAATGGAGAAACCAGCAAAAACATATTGGCTTACATATATCACAAAATATAAAGGAACATAGAAACCGGACTGGAGAAGCACAAAAAGTAAAAAAGATGGTTCTTCAAGGGTTCTTTAGTAAAGAAAAATGCTTCTATATAGAACCATGTACATTCTAAGAACCCTCTGTATGATGAAAGGGATCTTTGCATCATAAAAGATTTCATCAGACTGATGGAAAATGTACTGTAGTTGGTTGTAGGATGGTTTATATACAGAACCTTTCTGAAAAGGGTTCTAAAAAGAACCAAAAGGGTTTTACTATTGCTACAAGCCAAAGAACTCTTTTAGGTACTATATAGAACCCTTTTTGCTAAGAGTGTATAAATACCTACACTCTCAAAAAAAAGTATGAAACTGTCTCTGGGGCAGGACCCCTCTTGTCACTGGGGTGGAACCCTCAGGGGTTCATCTCAATACCTTTAGTCAGGGAACATAACTGAACCATAATCCACTGAAATGATATTTTATATATTATTGTTCTGTTTTAAAACATTCAGTTATGAAAAGGTACAAATACGAACTTTTCACCTGGAAAAACTTATTTAAGGTTCACAGTCGGACCTTAAAACCACTGTTGTACCTTTGAGGGAACATTTACATTGTTTGTACCTCGATGAACGAGAAATGTACCTGCACAGAACCTTTATTTCTAACAGTGAACACATGAAAAAGAGACCATCTATCAAGGCAGAAAGAATACCAAGTAATGAAAACAGGTAAACAAATGATTTCTAACTTCCAGTGTCTCTGAGGCTGGAGGTGGGAAAGTTGCTGGAAACAGCTGAACTTCAGAGGCAGAACTTTTGGTAATTTACCAGCCAGAATCTCAAAAGTAAATCTTTGGTGTGATCGAGAAAGCACAGCACACTGTCACGCACCAGCAAGCAGAGCGAAACGTGCGGTCAGCAAGTCTAAATTTACATGCTGCTACAGCCGAGTCTAAATCAAGAAATCATAACATCTAAAGTAGTGAAGGCGTCTTGGTGTGTGTGGCTGCTATACAGGCTGAATCTGCTACCTTGTGAAAACTGACTGTGTAGTAAACGCTTTACAGCAACAGAAATGGTCCCTAATCACTATCTTCAAGGGTTCTTTACTAAAGAAAGTGGTTCTATATAGAACCATGAGCACTCAAATAACGCTTTGCATGATCAAAGGGCTCTTCGCATTGTGAAAGGGTTCTTTTATTGTTACAAGCTTGACATTGTAACAAAAGAACCCCTTTTGGTGCTGTATAGAACCGTTTTCACCGTGCTCCAGCACGTTCTCCATTAATCTGAAGAATCATTTCACCTTGCAAAGAACCCTTTAATCATGCACATTGGTTCTTTGAGTGTTCATGGTTCTACATAGAACAAATTTCTTTACTAAAGAACCCTTGAAGAACCATCTTTTTTAAGAGTGTACATTCGAGTACTACGTAGAGCACTATTACAGGAAAGAGAAATGGTCCCTAATCACTATTCTCTACACAAAAAAGATGGTTCTCGAAGAGTCCTTTAGTTAAGAAAAGGGTTCTATATAGAACCACGAACACATAATTAGTGTTCTTTGTATCATGAAAGGGTTCTTCTGTTAGATATTGACATTGTAACAATACACTTTTAAAATGATGGTTCTTCAAGGGTTCTTTAGTGAGGAAAATGGTTTTATATAGAACCATGAACACTCAAAGACCCCTTTCCATGATTAAATGGTTCTTTACATCGTTCTTCAGATTGATGGAAATGTGCATGAATGTGCTATAGACGGTTCTATATAGAACCTTTTTTAAAAAGGGTTCAATATAGCACCCAAAAGCGTTCTTCTATTGCTACAAGCTTAACGACGTAACAACAGAAGACCCCTTTTGGGTGCTATGTTTCAAAAAGGCTCTGTATAGAACCATCTACAGCACATTCTCCACCAATCTGAAGAACACTTCACGATGCAATGAACCTTTAAATTATGCAAAAAGTTCTGTGAGTGTCCATGGTTCTATATAGAACCATTTTCTTTGCTAAAGAGCCCTTGAAGTACCATCTTTTTTAAGTGTGTATGTATTTGTACCTTTTTTACAACCTTACATCCTGAAACAGTAAAAAGCCTGCAGACGAGGTTTGTTGAGTCAATATAACTTAAAATATATAACTGCAAAGCATTATGGCACAGTTATGTTCCGTAGCTCAAGGTACTAAAGGTACCACTGAGTATCTATCCTAGTGACAAGAGAGATGCTACCCCAGTTTAATAGCTTTTCTCTGAGAGTGTTTAGGGAACGGAAATTTAAATGTCAGACTCCCATATACAGCACAGTAAATAGGCCATAGTTCTTTATATATTACTGTTGAGAACCGTTTCATCAGTTGACCCAAGAGCTCTCAGAAGCTTCATCCATTCACAGGTGTGGATGTTTTTATGTTGATGGTGTCTTGTAATAGGAGTAAGCAGGTGGATACCAAAGTATTGATGCATTCAGCCCTGGACTTTTTGAGGTACTGGGGCCTCATTTCAGAAAATTCTTAAGTCTGAGATCTGCTTTGTTGTCATGGCAGCTTCAGTTAAGACTGAATTAGGACAGAAGCCATTACATTACATCACAACAGTTCTTAAGTCTGTAATCTTATTTCCAGATAAGAAAACAGTTTTACAGAAACATCCAAAATATCCTAAATATTTTCTTAACTTTAAGATAAACCCCAGAGCGTCTTAACTTCTGTTTCAATCGTCTGTTTCTATTTTTTTTTGTGCAGTGATGGGCAGCACAGCTCACTATAACCAGCATAGTGACGCTAAATTTATCTACACTGAAAACGGCGCTTTGACTTGTGAGTTTTTTTTCTAACAGCGTTTAAAAGCCCAGACGCTGCAGACACGACCTCCACCTTCCCCTCTTATTACCTTCGGGTGTTAATGTTAATGTTGATGATGAAATATTACAGTGATGGTGGTGAATAATGAGGAGACGGAGCTGAACGTGTGTCTGTTTATTAGGAGGAGTAACGTTAGCGTGCTCGGCTAAAGCGTTTGGGAAATGAAACTGAAACTGTGGAGCAGCGACTCTGATAAACAGCTCGAAGCGCTGAAACAATATAATTAACTCTGTTTATCGCGCTTTAGTTTTATTTGACTGTATTTGACACCAGCAACGACAGCTAAAGTTAGCTGTCTGGCTGACTAACCTGATTATGTGTTTACTACTTTCAGCCTGTATGGTCGGTTGCTAGGTAACAGACACAACAGTTGATTGTCAACTTCAATTGAGTAAGATTAAGATTTCCTAACTTTGGATAAGAAAAGATGCTGTGGGATAAGTTTTGCTTCTGTAATACGAATTTGTGAAAAATCTTATCTCGACCTGTCAGATTGTAAGTTAGGACAAAAAGATACGAATTTTCTGCAATACGGCGCCTGATCCGCAAATAAAAACCCTGATAAAAAGTGCCTTATTTCAGCATTACTTATAATAACTAACCATAACGATGAAATAAAAGTGTCTTTGATGCTGAAATGTGGAAAAAGCGATAAAACAAGAATTCCTGGAATGGCTAATAGGCTTTCAGTGCAGATATCACCCCTTTTTACACGCCTACGAAGACTTAAAAGTGTCAGTACTGATGCTGCTATTGGGATCCAAGCCTTAGTATTGTTATGTTTTGGATTAAAAACAATATTAGTGCTATCATCTATTCCTACTGTAGAACTGCTTGATCAGACATACCTGGGCCTGCAACTGCGCAATCTGGTCTTGCAGCTTTCTGACTGCAGTCACATCCTCTTCCTGTTCTTCATCGTCAGGAGCCTGCTGATGGGACTCATAGCTTATTCTGCGGCCTAAACGCTAGCAAAGGTAACAAAAGCAGTGGTTGCCAGTTAGCATGATTTCATTTCCTGAGTGCAAAAGAAGCAGCTCATAAACATGCTAATGTGGCTAAAAATGAATGGAAGTTAATGAGCTAACTGTTAGCTTGATGTCCTTTGTCTATTTGATGGGTACTGGCTTTCATTCACTGCCAGAACAATGAGCATTTTTGATTATGCTATCCCTTCAATTGCCTATTGACTCTTAGCAAATCTAGCATTTTCGGAGTAAAACACTAATTTTTACAGCATTTATTGGCCAGAAAAAGCTTGTGGTTTACTTTAGGCATGTTAGTCATCATCAAACATTGGTGGGAAACAAACACAGCATTGATATCAGTAACCACGGTAAAGCTGGAACTAAACACTCTGAAACTACATGCGCTAATGCTTCTGAAAGTAAAAATGTCCTTGAGTCATTTTGTAATATTCATAGTAAACCATCTTTCTTTAGATGTTTTAATAAGTTCTGTTTAATGTCGGTTTCTGATCAGCAGAAAAAGAAATCAGACTGATTTAATCCGTAACGTTGTCTCTAATCTCTAATTTGAGAAAAATACTCAGAGTGTAACCGTTTAAAAAAACAACTCTAAATCTGCACGAAGAGATGGATTTACAGAACTGCTTAATCACATTATCTTCCACACCTCCTCCGCGGAGTTAACGGCAGTGTTTATGCACAGTTGGCTGTTTTCTTGCGAAATCACTTCTTTAGAGAAGCGCCTGGGCCTACAGAGCTTCGGACGCTGGGCTGAAAGTGTGAACTCCGACAGCATCAGCCAGCAGAGTGAGAAAGATGCTATCAGCCGCAAACATTCAGAAAAAAAGCAGAAGATGTTGGTTCCTTTTCGGGTATTTTTTTTAACTTTTTATCTTTTTTGCCGATGGGCAGATAGACCTCTTTTTAACCAAGTCATTGTGCGATGCAGAAATATATAATTAACCAATGCACTTACTCGGTTTCTCAACTCCAGTACTAGTGCAGGGTGTGTGCGCGGAGGAACGAATCAGTTAAGGAAAAAAAGTGTGCGGTGCGAGAGTCTTCGAGGACTGGAGGTCTCTAACAAAGCTCTGATGCTGTATCCCCATTGTACACAAAGCAGTAATACTCTACACTATGATACACACATACTGGGTAGGGCCTCCCTTTGCTCTCGAAACAGCCTCAACTCTCCGTTGCCTGGATTACACAAGATGTTGGAAACATTCTTTTGAGATGCTGGTTCATGTTGACATGATTACACCATGTTCCTGCAGATTTTCAGGTGAACTTCCATGGTGCAACTTTCCGTTTTACCACATCCCAAAGATGTTCTACCTTTCAGATGCAGTGGCTGGAAAGGCCACTGAAGAACACTGAACTCGCTGTCATGTTCATAAACCAGTTTGAGACAACTTTTGTTTTTGTGAAATGGTGCATTAGAAGATGGTAAATTGTGGCCATGAAGGGACGCACACGGTCAGCAACAATACTCAAACAGGCTGTGGAGTTCAAGTGATAATTGATCGGTATTAACAGGCCCAAAGTGTGCCAAGAAAACATTCCCCCTCCCCATTACACCACCTCCACCAGCCTGGACTGTTGACAGCTGAGCAGTTGAGTCCATGGATTCATGCAAATTCTGACCCTACCATCTGTGTGCCTCAGCAGAAATCAAGATGGATTAGACCAGGCTATATTTTTCCAGTCTTCAACTGTCCAATTTTGGTGAGCCTGTGCCCAGAAGTGGAACCAGTGTGGTCTTCTGCTGTTGTAGCCCATCCGCCTCAAGGTTTGACATGTTATACATTCTGAGATGCTTTTTTTGCTCAACACAATTGTTCAGAGTGGTTATCTGTACAATGAGTTACCATAGCTTTTCTGTCAGCTCCAACCAGTCTGGCCACTCTTTGCTAACCTCTCCCATCAACAAAGCTTGTCTGTTTTTCTTTACTGCACAATTCTACTGGCCTGTATCTGCATGATTATATGCACTGCACTACTGCCACACAATTGGCTAATTGGATGATTGCATGAAGAAGTAAATGTACAGTTGCTTCTAATAAAGTGTTAGGTTAGTGTATATGCAGTCTTTAAAGAAGTGGTTTGCATACAGTTGCAAGCGAAAGTTTGAACACTCCAGACAAATTGCATGTTTTGTTGATTGTCCAAGTGAAACTAAGTTTATAAATCCCCTACAGAAAAAGAACCATAAAAATTAGGTGCCATAACTTTTGCAGAGAGAGCAAATATTCACCAAATAAACAGTAATTGTGCATTAAAATGTGCAGAACTGTGTTGTTTGTAGAGGATGTGTTACTTATTTACATCAACAAAACATGTCGTCTGACTAGGGATGCCAAACTTTTGCACACAGCTGCATTTACACAATTTTCCCCTTAAGCCAAATATAGTCAAAAAACTAAGACATATCTGCTTTATTAGCTATGAGGCAAATATTTTAGAAATTTACATCACAGAAATGGATTTTTAGGTGACATGGACTTTCATTACTTTAAATAGAGAAACATCTGTCTGATTTTTAAGCAAAAATGATGATCCTGTTATTATTGTGCATCTTTACTTTCAGTTAATATCACCTTGTTGCTCTGGTGTGAAACTAAATAAGCAAACTTAATCCTGAAAGTACTTTTTGTGATGGGAGAATTTGCCAATTTTAAAAATACATTAGAAACAAGGTTCAAAAAGTAAATATCTTTGCTTTACTTTTTCTTTGCTCTGCAAAACTGTTATATAAACATCAGAACACTCCAGGTTGGGTACAATGAATGATGCTGTAATTACAATGTAATTCATGGTGAATTACATCGTAATTACAACATCATGCATCACTCCCTCTCGTTTTATATTGCTGAACTATATACCCAAAAAACAATTTGTCATACTGTTTATAAGTGTCCATTTACATTTGTAGTTTGGTTCCCTCAATTGGGACCAAAGCGGGAACACACTGTTGCATTTTAATTCTGGTCCACTTAGCATTTACACTTCATTTTTGACATTAAGCCAAAAGATTTTATGATGTATTTATGATGTATTCACAACTGCATTGAAGCAATAACTCTAACAAAATTTCTGAGCTACATTGCACTTATGTGTTGGGATATTCTAAAACAATAACCCTTGAGTTACAGTCGTTTTTCCATCTCATTAATATAATTGTGCTCTGACGTTGAACTCTTTCATTTGGCGCTGACAATCATAAAATTGTGGTCCCACTAGGAACAACCACAGTTCACTTGGAAGTGGACTGAGACTTGCAATTTTTGGCGGCAGTTCCTTCGTTTGGTGCACACTTAAGCATGTGTGCAAACTGACTAAAAAGTTCAGTAAGAAGGTGTGAAAGCGTCCTAAGAACATAGACCCTGTTTACACCTAATCACGTCAAGTGTCTGCATCAAGATCATATCTGGGGAGATTATCATTAAAATGCAGGTGGAAATCCACCCAAAACACAGTTAAAACAGATTTAAACCCGATCACTCACACCACTTCGGGAGGTGTTCTGAGATGCATTACAGATATTAGTCAGATATTATACAAGTTTGAATGCAACTAGGACCCAGTTTACACCTGGTCACTTCATGTGACCAGTATCTGGATTGTATCCTGACAAGATTTTAGCCACATGCATTTAGACTTGGCAGTTAAACCTGTCTCTGGTTAGTTGGACTGAATTCCGATTGCTGTGAGGGATGGAATGTGCAAATCCGCCTGTTATGCAATTGTTTATCCATTCAGCCAGTTTGACAGCAGTTTTTTTCGCACAGCAGCGAATGTCCATGTTGCTATTAAGCCTTTTGTTTCATCAGGTCCCCAATCATATGCTTCCTCCATGATTCTCCTCACAGACACGGATCACATGCTAAGTGACACACTGCATAGGGAGGAGTTTTGGTTGTACTGTGAGGAGTTTCAGTTGTACCAGGAGGTGTTTTGGTTGTACTAAGAGGCGTTTCGGTTGTACTCAGAGAAGTTGTGGTTGTATTGGGAGAAGTTTCGGCTGTACCAGGAGGAGTTTTGGTTGTACTGGGAGGAGTTTCAGTTGTACAACAAGGAGTTTCAGTTGTACTAAGAATAGTTTCGGTTGTACTGGAAGGAGTTTCGGCTGTACTAAGAGGAGTTGTGGTTGTACTGGGAGAAGTTTCGGCTGTACCAGGAGGAGTTTTGGTTGTACTGGGAGAAGTTTCGGTTGTACTGGAAGGAGTTTCAGTTGTACTGGAAGGAGTTTCGGCTGTACCAAGGGGAGTTTCAGTTGTACTAAGAGGAGTTTTGGTTGTACTGGGAGGAGTTTCGGCTGTACAGAGAAGAGTTTCGGTTGTACTGGGAGGAGTTTCGGCTGTACTGTGAGGAGTTTCAGTTGTACCAGGAGGTGTTTTGGTTGTACTAAGAGGAGTTTCGGTTGTACTCAGAGGAGTTGTGGTTGTATTGGGAGAAGTTTCGGCTGTACCAGGAGGAGTTTTGGTTGTACTGGGAGGAGTTTCGGTTGCACTGGAAGGAATTTTGGTTGTACTAGGACGTGTTTTGGCTGTTGAATGTGTCTTGGAGAGACAGATGTGTTTACGCTGCTATGTAAATGCATCTCAGTCCACCTCCTGGTGCTCTGAGTTGTATGAGATTGTATCTTGGGTGCATCTTGAATACGTTTACACTTGCATTTTTGTGGCTTGGCCTCATCCAGATATAATCCTGGTACTCAAGACGCATGAAGTGACCAGGTGTAAACAGGGTCTGTCTCTCCAAGCCACATATGACAACCAAAACCCCTCCCAGTACTGTAATGGTGCCTCCACCTGCTGTTCTGCACATGTGAGAAAAACACCCACTAAACGGAGCATGGCTGCAGCTTCAGTTCAGCTCCTGACACGAGTTTCTCCTCTGAGTTTAATTCATTAGCCTTCAGCGCTGCTGTGCTGACTTAAAAATTAATGCAAACTTGTGATTTGAGGTGGCAACGTTTTTTCAAACAGAACAGAAAAAACAAGGGACAAAAAGGTCATTGGTTGTTGAGCTGATTTGCATTTTATGTGCCACACGGCAATCAGATTTCAATCTGACTAACCGGAGACACATTTGATTACTCAGTGTGAATGCATATGGTTAAATTACTACCAGGCTGAAATCCGGATACCATGTTGTATGAGATTTGTATCTTGGGTGCATCTTGAATACGTTTACACTTGCATTTTTGTGGCTTGGCCTCATCCAGATATAATCCTGGTACTCAAGACACATGAAGTGACCAGGTGTAAACAGGGTCTGTCTCTCCAAGCCACATATGACAACCAAAACCCCTCCCAGTACTGTAATGGTGCCTCCCCCTGCTGTTCTGCACATGTGAGAAAAACACCCACTAAACGGAGCATGGCATGCCACAACTAGGTGTAAACGGGCTCAAAGAGACAGTGCCGGACTCTGGTTTGACCTTTCAAAGGAGAACGGATTTAAAACAGAGCGTGTGCTGACACCACGAAAAAACAGGTTAATCAAAACAGCGTGTGATAACACTTTGGGTGTGTCTCCAGCTGCTGGTAATGGTGATGCTTCACTGCAAATAGTTTCAGTGTACAGCCCCTCACACACACACACACACAGAGGAGATCTGTTTTGGGGGAAAATCTAATTCACTAATTTACAGTTTCCTTCCATACTTCAAGCAAAGTTGATCAGGTACCAGGATGATGTAGCTAACAAGTAATCTTACACATTCATCCTTACTGCTACTGTTTTTAGCTTTGCTCTGTAATTTAGTGCATGTTTATGGATCAACAATGTGTCATACAGTGTCAAAAAACACGTAAGCAATGTGATGATTTAAGCACGCAGTCATCCCCATGCTAATGGATTTGATATAAGCTTCCATTACTGAAAAGTGGAATAAGTGTCACTGCGCTTAACACTGAGGTCATCGTGTCCACTTCCCCTCAAGCTCAGCCCACAGCATATGGAGTTGCACCCAGCAGGGCTAAGTAGGGTTTAATAACGCACATGGCCTGGGTCTGAATTTAGCCCTCAGGAAGAGTTGTGGAGGATAAATGACCCAGTAATTAGCCACCTCTGCTGGCTCAAATGGGGAATTATGTCACTCTGGGCTAAGGGTGGGCAATTTGGCAAAAATATAACATCAAGATACATACTTTTACATTCTCATACGTATCACAATATTTCGCTTTTCTGAGGATCGCAGACAAGTTGGAATAGGCAAAATAGGATGTCATAACGGGCTGCTGTCCAGTCAGCTACTTGTTACCATGCAGTTTATTCAGCTACTATATACTGGTTGTTGCAGTTGTTCACAGTCTCTCTATAATTGGTCTTCTTTATGAGGAGTTTCAGTTGTACTGGGAGGGGTTTTGGTTGTATTTGGAGGAGTTTTGGTTGTACTGGGAGAAGTTTCAGTTGCACTGAGAGGGGTTTCGGTTGTATTTGGAAGAGCTTCGGTTGTACTGGTAGGAGTTATGGATGTACTGGGAGAAGTTTCGGTTGTACTGAGAGGGGTTTTGGTTGTATTTGGAAGAGCTTCAGTTGTACTGGTAGGAGTTCCAGTTGTACTGGGAGGGGTTTTGGTTGTATTTGGAGGAGTTTTGGTTGTACTGGGAGGAGTTTCAGTTGCACTGAGAGGGGTTTCGGTTGTACTGAGAGAAGTCAAAGTTGTACTGGGATGAGTTTCGGTAGTACTGGGAAGAGTTTTGGTTGTACTGGTAGGAGTTATGGTTGTACTGGGAGGCGTTTTAGTTGTACTGAGAAGGTTTTTGGTTGTATTTGGAAGAGCTTTGGTTGTACTAGGAGGAGTTTCAGTTGTACTGGAAGGAGTTGGTTGTTGTTTACAGCCTCTCTATAATTGGTCTTTTTAATGATCTGTACAGTTGTTTGTGTCCTAGAAGTGCTGCCTAGACCCATCATATACTCAGAAAAGTGTATTACGACATAATGGTCATCGTCATGTAACATATTGTCACGTTGCCGACCCCTATACCGGGCCATGCTGTTACCTTGTGTTGCTCTTCCTCAGTTGTTTGTCCCAGTAGACTGTGCAGACGCTGGTTCTGCATCATTATGTCCTGCAGACGCTCGTGCTGGCTGTGCATGCGCTCGGTGATGCGCTTTAGCTGGAGACTGCAGAGTTGATCCTGCAAAAACAGCAATAAGGCTTGTTAATCTCTCAAAAACTGACTCGCTATTATGCAGATCAAACAGATTTGATTGGGGGTCTTTAGGAAACAATTCAGTGCAAAATGAAATCTCAAATTTCACCACAAACTGGTTATTAACGTACGATTCAGTATTATCTAAAAATATACTGAATTCACAAATGCGACTATTTACACAGTAGTGGAATATAGAAATTAAAAAAACAATACCCCAAGATTTTTTGTATATATTTTTTGTATACATTTGATAATAGCTTGAGAATTTTGGCCAATATAATTAGCTTTGTGAGTATTATAACAATAGATAATAACCTATTCTAACATTCCAAATTGATGCAGCAGAATCACCATCTTGCACATTTACCCCCAGGAACAGCCGTGAAACAAATTTCTGTATTTAGAAGATGAGGAACTGAAGTGTGCGCACACTTTATGTGAGTTTAGGGTCAACGCAAGTATACTGCAACGTGGGAATTTTTTAAGACTGGTGTTTAGTTTGAAATGATTCAGATTCGCACATGTTGCTGATGGAATGAAACTGATTTCTGCTTATCAACCGTTTTGGGCGGATCTGATTTTCGAGTGATTTCGCAGCCCTGAGACAGACATTTTTCCCTTCTGACTGTTATTCTGGTTGTGTGCTTTTGCAATGTCAGTCTCCAGATCAGACAGATCAGGCATTTTGAAATTTCTAACGTTAAAAGCCACCTGTGTGTCATCGTGACTTTTTTTGAAAAACAATGATATGAGAATTTCGCCACAAGCAAGATGTTGCAATCCGGGGATTCTACAGCAAAATGTTGTCCAAAACAAAGCAAACAAAAGCTACATGTGCTTCAGTCCAGATAGTAATTAAACTCAATGAACACAATTACTTACACAATGCAGTTCTACCCCCTAGATTCTACATTTGTAAGGGATATTTATGTCTTACACAAAAGAACCATAAAATCTTGGTAAAGTCTCAGACTGAGCTGCTGTTCGGATGCTATGTAAGTAAAATGTCTCCATCTACTGGACCCTTAATTACTGTGCATGTTCATACTAACGCTTGTAGGAACCAGTCAGCAGTCTGAGTTCCGCTGTATTATGTGTTGTGACCCCCACAAGCTTCATCTGAAAAAGCAGCTTTAGGGGTGTAAATTGTACTAAAGATGGTGATTAAAGTGCAACAGCTTTGAATTTTAGAGCTGATTATAACTCACTACAAAATACTGCTAACACTTTATTCTGATCGGTCCTTTTAGATAAAATAAACACTCAATGGACTCATTAACATTTCAAAAACATATGAGGGTTAGGATTAGGATTAGCACCAGGATGAGGGTTAGGATTAGGTTTTGGGTTGAGGCTAAGGTTACGGTTAGGATTAGGGCCAGGGTTAGGATTAGGTTTTGGGTTGAGGTTAGGATTAGGATTAGGGCCAGGGTGAGGGTTAGGATTAGGTTTTGGGTTGAGGCTAAGATTACGGTTAGGACTAGGTTTTGGGTTGAGGCTAAGGTTACGGTTAGGATTAGGGCCAGGGTTAGGATTAGGTTTTGGGTTGAGGTTAGGATTAAGATTAGGGCCAGGGTGAGGGTTAGGATTAGGTTTTGGGTTGAGGTTAGGATTAAGATTAGGGCCAGGGTGAGGGTCAGGATTAGGTTTTGGGTTGAGGTTAGGATTAAGATTAGGGCCAGGGTGAGGGTCAGGATTAGGTTTTGGGTTGAGGTTAGGATTAGGGCCAGGGTTAGGATTAGGTTTTGGGTTGAGGTCAAGGTTAGGATTAGGTTTTGGGTTGAGGTTAAGGTTAGGGTTAGGATTAGGGCCAGGGTGAGGGTTAGGATTAGGTTTTGGGTTGAGGTTAAGGTTAGGATTAGGATTAGGGCCAGGGTGAGGGTTAGGATTAGGTTTTGGGTTTAGGGTAAGGTTAGGATCAGGATTAGGGCCAGGGTGAGGGTTAGGATTAGGTTTTGGGTTTAGGGTAAGGTTAGGATCAGGATTAGGGCCAGGGTGAGGGTTAGGATTAGGTTTTGGGTTTAGGGTAAGGTTAGGATCAGGATTAGGGCCAGGGTGAGGGTTAGGATTAGGTTTTGGGTTTAGGGTAAGGTTAGGATCAGGATTAGGGCCAGGGTGAGGGTTAGGTGTTGGGTAAGGTTGGTAAGGTTAGGTTTTGCGTAATGAAAGTAACATATTAACATAACATCTACTTAATGTAAGTAATGTATCAACAGAACATCTACAAGATATTTACTTCAGTGTATTCAGACGCTTCACTACTGATACATCACTGATATGTTGTTGATGTGTTACAGATAATCTGTTAAGAGTTTATTAATCATCTACAAGGGACCGCTCTAAATAAAGTGTACGAAACGATCATTATGTGGTGTCTGACCTGCGTCTGCAGCTGCAGCAGTTGGTGGCGGCTCTGTGTGAGCTGAACCTGAGCGTGAACTTCTCTGAACCTCACACTCATCAGCTCCCCCTGCAGGTCACTCACACTACTGCTGCCCTTCTGCTGCATCTGAGGAAGAGAAATAGAGCCAAACTCAGCCTTTTTTAAGAGCATTTCACAGATTTCTCCAAATCTCTGCATAATTATGTAGATGTAAACAGATTCAGGTGTTTACAAAATCCAGATATAAACAAAATCATGCAGATTTGTTTGACGTGAATTGCTCAGTTTTAGAGAATTTACAGAGTCAGAAGTGTTAACAGTGCTGTTGATAGGAACCAGACGTCTGCGGAGTTTAATGCCTCTAAAAGCTCCCTTACAGAAAGTTATCACATGTAATGGTCATGAAGACACTGATGCCTGATGCCTGTGATATTGTTGTATGACAGTTTTTAAATAAGTTATATATATTTTATGGTGGAAAGGTACATACAGGGTGTCTTTTTCACCACTTTTTTACCATGTTCAACATTACATATAAGGCTCAGAAGACACGTGTGGGTTCACTGGTGGTTTTGGATAGTAAATAAAATGTCTATATTTGAGTTGTAGACATCACGGCCCCTGGTTCCTATCACCACCACTGTGAAGAACAGCGATGCATCAATACCGTGCTCGTTAACTCATAATGCATACTAATCAGATACTAACACCTGATACCAGCTGATACCTGGGTAACACTTTATTTAGAGCGGTCCCTTGTAGATGATTAATAAACTCTTAACAGATTATCAGTAACACATCAACATATCAGTGAAGCTGCAGTAGTGAAGCGTCTTGAATACACTGAAGTAAATATCATGCAGTTGTTCTGTTGATACATTACTTACATTAAGTTAATGTAACGTTAATATGTTACTTCCATTATGCAAAACCTAACCTTACACAACCTTACCAAAAACCTAACCCTCACCCTGGACCTAATCTTAACCTTAACCTCAACCCAAAACCTAATCCTCACCCTCATACGTCTTTGACATGTCACTGAGAGTCCGTTGAGTGTTTGTTTCATCTAAAAAGGACCACTCAAAATAAAGTGTCACTGATACTGATACGTGACATAAGCTTAGTTAACGTACGCCGCTGCTTGGTCCTACAATCGCACAGTGTATGTCTGGCTTTAGAGGATATTCAACTACAGCTCAACCAGCCAAACAAAAGACTCCAACAAGACATAAGACTCTAAAAATGAGCTCTTCAGATGCATTAGCTTCAGATTTGATTCCTGCTGTCGCTGTGCTACAGCGAGTGTTTTTGAAAGAGACAGATGCAGAGCAGGGATCAAAACTATGAAACATACTTTACAACTGTACAGAAGTGCTTTTCTGACACGGACCAAACTCTCCTCCATTGTAATGCTGCTCGATCCAAGGTAACTTACGTAGCATAGCTAGTTAATGCACGTCATTTAGAATCAGCTACATTTTAATGATTTAACTGCTAAGGTACACTGCACTCATTTACACTAACAGCTGCTTAATAAAGCAATAAGCCACAAGAGGCTGTGGGTTACTGCGATTTTATCACAGGAAGGGTGTTCTTAGGCACGATGCGAAGCTGTGATAAACCCTCTTCTCCTGCTGGGGCTCAATCTCAAATAGCTCCCTGCTCCCTACATAGTGCACTAGGTGGGAATTTAAATACTGTATCCTGCAGCCCAACAGAGCATAATATAGTTAGGAAATAGTAATTTGGGACTGTACGGAGCCTTTTGGGATTCAGTCTGGGTTTGATGCTACTTCTGACTAAAACACTAACATTTGAAGCATGTAAGATATTCATGTGACATTTTTTAGACTTTTATACTGCTGTTTTACAGTTAATGATACCGTAAGTACTTTAATTCAAGCCTGTGATGTTAATGATGGAGTAGTTTTAGCCTATTAGCTATCTTTTAGCCTGTCAGCTATCTGACCAGTCTAGTTCTATTTAAGAACTTAAGTTGCCCCTCAGTTTAAACAAAAAACGGGTTCTTACTTCATCAGTATACTTGGTGGTCTGTGCGAGGGTCAAAGATTATTCCATGAACAGCACAAGGGACTTTTCGTGCCGTGATGCAGTAATACAGAGTTGTTGTGAGGCATCATAGGTGTGAGTATATCGTGGATTTTACAATGTCTTTGAACGCGACTCAGCCAATCGGATTTTAGGACCGGAACTATCCGTTTGTAATTCTAAGTACATGACTCAGTATGGTATCACAATCAGTATCGACGTGTACTAAAAAACACACTCATACTCGATCTGAAAAAATGGTATTGATGGATCCCCAGTAAAGAATGTAGAGTCAGTAAGTTATGAACCATTTCACAACAAACTGCTCTAAATGACCGTTTACACTTCAACATTTGAACTATACTGAAATTTTGAAAAAGTTGAGGAAGGGATTCCTCTTTAACATTTACACTGTTTGTCCTGATTAAATTGTAAAATTAAGTACAGTAAGACACTGCAAATATAATCATGATCAACCATTTATTTAATACAAACATGCAAACACAAACCTGCCATTTTTCCTCCAGATCTTTAATGTGATGTTTAATCTCTCTGAGTCCGGTCAGTGCCTCTGCCTCCCTCAGCTTCCCACCGACCAGCTGCTCATGCAGATACTGCATACTGACCTCATCAGGAACTGTACTGCTCTAAAACACACATGAACACATTATGATAAAAATACCATTACTTAGTATTACAAGTACGTGAGCAACTATATTTAATACTTATCATGAAATGATAATGTAAACGCAATGATAACGTAAACAGCAACAGGCATTTTCAAATTATGTCAAAAACTGAAAAACAACAAAAATGGAGATACGAGGTTTTCTTTCTTCCGACAGCAGCGATGTGTGTGTGTGTGTGTGTGTGTGTGTGTGTATATATATATATATATATGTGTGTGAAATGTGTCCTGTTTGCGTATAATAATAGTAATAATAATAATAAAAATAATAATAATAATAATAAAAGTCCCTTATTACAAATATTGGGGTAACTATATGTAATAACATTAAGTCTTATATGTATTATATACATGTAATATATATGTATCTCGCTGTTGTCAGAAAAAAACCTTGTATCTCCAAAATGGTAACTTTACAGGAGAAGGAAAAAACCTATGTTACTTTTAATGTAAGTCAATGGAACCAGAAGTGTTTCCAAGTCATTTTGGTCCGTTTCTTTTGGCCCATTTATCATGAAAGTTACATATAATGTAAAGAGCAACAGGCATTTTTAAATTATGTCAAAAACTGAAAAACAACAAAAATGGAGATATGAGGTTTTCTTTCTTCTGACAGCAGCAATATATATATATATATGCGCGTGTGTGTGTCTATATATATATATATATATGTGTGTGTGTGTGTGTGTGTGTGTGTGTATAACAGTTAGTTCTGATGGCACAGTCTAATTCTGCTGAGCACTAGTTGCTAAGTAATGACTCGCTTTATGCTGCAGCTTGTTGTTACTACATTCCTGCTTGTTTTTAGCAACAGAAATTGAACACATTAGATAACGTCCATAAGATAATATTTGACCTGCAGCCTGTTTGGTCAGATTCTGAAGAAGAGCTTACATCAAATCATGAACCTGTCATTGACACTGATAAATGCTATCTGATAACGGGTCACTTAGATTAGAACAGTGTAGTGAAGTGCACTATGTGGACGTTTCGCACTTTCTCCATCAGCAGCATCTTTATCTCCATCTGCTTTAAGACGTGCCGATGCTCTGCCTCTCTCAGCCGGATCCGCGCACACTCCTGCCCCAGCTTCCACACCGCATCCTCACAGAACCTCTACCAAAGAGAGAGAGAGAGAGAGAGAGAGAGAGAGAGAGAGAGAGAGAGAGAGAGAGAGAGAGAGAGATTGTATTGTTTGTTATCCAGGAGTCCACTTATAAGGTCTGTAATGTGATTTCTCACATTACAAGAGAAACCACATTACACCAGCCTGAGCCTGGTGGCAGCTCCTGGCCATTTCAGGGCTTAACTTACTACTACACGACAATATAAAGACGTAGATGACAGAAAACCTTCACAACCTAGAAGGCACTATACTACTGTATCGCATGGTCAAAAATGACTGACCAACTGATCCACTCACTTTCTCCAGGGTGTCAATCCGCTGTCGCAGAAGTTTATTTTCTGAATGTAGTTTCTAAAGAAAAACACAGACAGCACAGCCAGAGGTTCTTATATAATTTATATAATTACGTTACTATTCTCAGCAATGCAAGCGTAAAGGAAGCAAAGCTCACCTTCATTTCCTCTTGTTCTTCCATCTCCTTCATTTTTATGGCTGTGTATTCTTTTTCAAGCCTAAAAAGACATTAACCAGTGTGCATAAACATCAATATCAAATCTCAATATATATGTTTTTTAGATTTATAATGCCAAAGTAATAACATATGATACACTATATGTCCAAAAATGTGTAGACATGTGCTCATCCAGTGTTTCTTCTGAAATGAAGGGCATTAATAGTTAGTTTGTCCCTCTTTGCTGAAGTAACAGCCTCTACTCTTCTGGGAATTCTTTACACTATGTTGGAACATTGCTGTGAGGATTTGATTGAGCATTTGTGAGGTCAGGTACTGATGTTGGATGGTCAGTTCTGGATCACTCCAACTCATCCCAAAGGTATTGGATGGAGCTCCATCACTCCAGAGAACACAGTTCCGCTGCTCAACAGCCCAACGCTGGGGGGCTCCATACCCCTCTAGCCCATGTTTGGCACTGGGCATGGTGACCTTAGGCTCATGTGTGCTTTCCTATGGTGAGTATACAAGCTGTGTGTGCATAGCTGAATGTCTGTGTCAGCAACAGGTGCACCTTAAAGTAGCTGAATTCACACAATAAGGTCTGTCTGGACTTGTGATTTGTAATCACATTTAGAGGTCATTTGTATAAAATAGTGAACAACAGGTGGCGCTCCTCTCAGGAAGGATAAACACACTCACTTCTTCATTCTCTTGGAGTCGTACTTTATTTGATAAGCCGTCGTTATCATCCTGCCCGGATCTCTGTCCATCTGCTGGGGGGCCGTTTTCTCCAAAAACTGAAACAACATGGACAGTATCTTCAATATGACACACACACACACACACACACACACACACACACACACACACACACACACACATCATCTAAACCGCTTATCCTTCTGGGTTGTGGTGGGGTGCTGGAGCCTATCCCAGCTGTCATTGGGCGGAAGGCAGGATACACCCTGGACAGGTCGCTAGTCCATCGCAGGGCAATTTGGTAAACAACTCAATTCTATTTTCAGTACTTTCAATTCCGTATCTACAGTATCTAACACAATGTTGACACTGTGTTCTGCCTATAGATGAATCAAAATGCACATGCTACTTAAACAAAGATGAACAGATGTGTGTATATAAATGAAGAGTTTTATTCAGTAACATGTGACATTAGAAACAATCAACGCAACACATAGCCCTGTTTGTGTTTGAACACAGTGGGTTTTTAGACGCTTTAGGCTCTTTAAAACAGATTTTTTGAATAAAAACATGTTAATTATTTAGTAACCAATTTGATTTGACATTTGAAGAGTTTTATGTTGATGAAAATGAGACTTAATGAGATTTATGCAGCTGCCAGAGCTCTCACACCCCCATTTTTAAATCCTTACACTGGCTACCAGTCTGTTACAGAATGGACTTATGATACTATTACTGGTCTTTATATCATTCAGTGGTGTAGGAGCAGCGTCGTTATCTGATCTGCTGCAGCGAAATGAGCCGAGCAGAACTCTCACATCATTAGGAACTAGTCAGTCCTGCCGATGGAGGAGCAGTGTTTCGATACTGTGCTGCTCTTAAATGGAACCAGTTGACAGAGCATTAGAAGAGCCCCAACACTGGACACTTTAAATCCAGGCTCAAAATGTTCCTATATGAGCAGCTTTCAGTTCAGTTTAAAACACTGTTAGCGTTTCTAGGCCTTCTTCTCTGCAAAAGCACTTAATCTTAATTTAATTTTTAATTAGATTTTTAATTATTCTTATTTCATTTTTAATTTTGCTGTTGTCAGAGCAAAACCTCTTATCTCCGTTTATCATTTTTCAGTTTTTGATATGATTTGAAAATAATAAAACTCATAACTCTTTACATTGTGTGTAAATATAATGATGAATGGACCAAAAGAAACAACCCAAAATGACTTAGAAGAAATTCTGGTTCCATTGACTTACATTAAAAGTACAGTATGTTTTTACTTATCCTGTAAAGTTACCATTTGGAGATGCAAGGTTTTGTTCCGACAGCAGCGACATGATTTGTAATTATTCAAATGTAATTTTTAATTTGATTTTTAGTTGAATGATTTTTCTCTTTTAAATCTACTGCTTTAGTCATGTTTTTAATTTCTATTCTCCTTCACTTTCCATTTTTCTATTCTCCCTTACTTTACTTTTTAAATGACTTCTTTTATGATTTGTACAGCACTTTGAATGACAGCGGTGTATGAAAGGTGCTGTATAAATAAACTTGCCTTGAATACAAAAAGTAGATGTTTATTAAGCTGTAACAACCTGAATACTTGTCTGTGTTTACACTAATAAACGGTAGGTGTTCACATGGTAAGTGTTTTAATCAAAGACAAAATTCTGATATCACAACAACGTTACAGAGGAGCTTCGGAAACTACCGAAGTGCAGCCTAACCACACAGACCGACTTCCCAGACACAGATTAAAACCCAGTTCCAGCCTAAAAATACATCTTGGGTAATTTGGTCAGACAGTGAGCTTAACTTTTGTCTGGAAAACCACCCAAAGTGTCTGCTCAGGAAGACGATACAAAAATAGAAGAGATGGTATCACTCTTAAAAAAAAGGTTCTTTAAGGGTTCTTTAGTAAAGAATATGGTTCTATATAGAACAATGAACACTCAAAGAACCCTTTGCATGATTAAATGGTTCTTTGCAAGGTGAAAGGTTGATGGAAAATGTGCTGTATATGGTTTTAAATATAGATATATAGTCTATGTAGCACCAAAAGGGTTCTTCTACTGTTACAATGTCAAGCTTGTTATAATAGAAGAACCCTTTTGGGTGGTATATAGAACCATTTTCAAAAGGTTCTACATAAAACCATCTACAGCACGTTCTCCATCAATCTGACGAACGCTTTGATGATGCAAAGTACACTCTTAAAAAAGATGGTTCTTCAATGGTTCTTTAGTAAAGAAAATGGTTCTATATAGAACCTTGAACACTCAAAGAACCCTTTGCATGATTAAACGTTTCTTTGCATCATGAAGGGGTTCTTCAGATTGATGGAAAATGTGCATGAATGTGCTTTAGACGGTTCTATATAGAACCTTTTTTGAAAACGGATCTATATGGAACCCAAAATGGCTCTTCTATGGTTACAAGCTTGACATCGTAACAATATAAGAACCCTTTTGGGTGGGATGTAGAATCATTTTCATCTACAGCACATTTTCATCAGTCTGAACAGCCCGTTCATGAACCGTTTAATCATGCAAAGGGTTCCTCGAGTGTTCTTTTCTAAAGAACCCTTAAAGAACCATCTTTCTTAAGTGTGTATGTGAGCGAAAATTCTCTCTTTCTACTAACACTCTCTTCCCACTGTTGTCTCTTAGAGATCAGAGGGTGATTATATGGACTAAACTTGCAAACTACAACTACATAACGTTCATATTTGCTTTATAGGAATCACTGATTCACAATACAGATTAATTTCAAGATCAGTAACTCAATAATAGGCCTGCGGTTTAAGGGGTTAATCTTCTGGTAATCTTCTTTATGGACAGCATGGCTGTAAAAATAGCTTTTACCTGCGTCATCCCCTCCATGTCCAGCTTCAGCAGTTCAGTCTGGGTCATCTGGAGGATGGCCATACCCACACGGAACACGATCTCCAAACCCTGACCACACACAAACACGCATACAGTCTGAGTCAATCAAGTTTCGTCACATCCTCACTCAACGGTTTCACTTCTACATACACGCTGTACACACAGTGATTCCAATTTCAGGTCCAGTTTCAACTCTGCAAGTATTGTAGTAACACTACTGTTTCATTATTAAGTTTTGGTTGGAAACACAAGGGTTAAATTCTTGAAATGCCAAACGACAGCGTGTCCAATCAGGATTTTTTCTCTGTGGTTTCTAGGTAGATATAGAAAGTGAGCTGTCCCATTGGTTAAGACTTCAGAGGTGGAAAAAGTCATATCAACTCACATAATTAGGAAGTGAGGAATCAACCAATCACGTTTTGATTTATAATGTGACCAATTTTGTGAGAAAAAAACTTCTGGAAGCTCCAGAAACGCCTCTGACTATGAACACAAGCTGTAGTCTAACCAGGTTTCAGGTAGCTTTTAGAAATTAGCTCTAATCAGTCCCTGTAAAACTGCCACAAAGAGTAACTTTACAGGAGAAGGCAAAACACTCTTACCTTTCAACGTAAGTTAATCTAGAAAGATTTTATTCCAAGTGATTTAGAGCATTTTTATTGGTCCATTCATCATGAAATTTTACACAACAAAAAAGACAGCTGGTGTGTTGAAATGATGAAGCAAAATATCGACAAAAATCAATACATGGTTTTCTTGGGACACTGACGATACAAGGTAAAATATCTGGAATGTCTTATACAAACTGTAAATGTTTATGTTTAATCTAGAACACACAAAAATTGATCATGTGAAATACCATTAGCTTAGTGCTAACATACTACTAAAAGGGGTGCTAGAAATTAGCACTACCACAGGGCTGTTCTTTCCCTTGGTTTTGACTGAGTTTTGACACTTATGGCTCAAACTGAAGGCTACGACGGCTTTTTAGGGCCACTGTTAATAAAAATAAAAATAGTAGACTTTGAGGATAAAGTTGTGCTATTTTGAGAAAAAAAGTTGTAGAATTCCGACATTAAAGCAGCATTACTACCAGGAATGGTCACAATATTGTGGCCAAAGCCTTTGCAAAGGGAAGCAGCACCTCCTCGTGTTAAATGAGGGGCGGTGAGTTGGTGGAGTTATAGTTTCATATCGATTCACCCATAAAGAAACACTCAGTCTCCCTGTCTCTCCTGCACATCAGCACCAGCCTGTTATTAGGATAAGAACCGGCTGAAACGGCTGAGCAGGAAACCGTGTTTATCTAGAATAAAGAGCCAGACGGACTCGGAGGAAACTGTCTGTCTGTGCTGTTGAAGGAGAATCTCAGGCAGGGTCGTCTACACGGCTATCGGGGGCTACATCTCCCCCCATTCAGAGAGTGCATGAAGTTTCACAGACAGTGAGAATGATGATCAAAATGATCCACAAACAGACAGGAGTGAGTGGAGCTCCGGCACCAGTACAGCAACCGAGACCTCAACGTGTTATGGCAGCCCCTACAGTTAGCCCCCCTACAGTTAGCCCCCTACAGTCAGCCCACTTTATCCACCAAATATTACGACTTTATTCAAGTCTACTAGTTTTATTTTTATTAACAGTGGTCCTAAAACGCCTACATCAGGGGTCAGCACCCCAAATGTTAAGAAGAGACATTTTGCCCTTTAAACAAATATCAAACACGCTCCCGAGTGGTGCAACCATCTAAGCGTTGGCTCTGTTATCAGGAGATCGTGAGTTCAATCCCTGGTGATGCTACAGCCATCTGTAGCCGGGAGTCCAAGAGAGCATAACTGGCCTCGCTCTCTCTGGGTGGGTAGGATGGCCCCTCCTTCTCCCCCATCACTTAACGCGTTGCTGGTCAGCGCAGGCGTCTGTTAGCTGACATAACAGATCTGGCGGTTGGCGCTTTCCTCCGAGTGCGTTCGGCTGTCCAGTGACGTTGTGTGAGCTGCAGTTCAAACAGATGCGGAGGCTGGTTTCACAGGTCTCGGAGGAAGCCTGCGTTAGCCTTCACCCACCTAGTGTTGATGGTATCGTGTGATTGGGGGAGTCCTAACTAGTGGATGGAATTGGAGATGACTAAATTTGTGGAGAAAATTGGGATAAAAATCCAAAAAAAAGAAATATCAAACCACAAACTTGGGAGCCACAACATTTCATGTCCATTTTACCATTTTGGCTGTAAATATGTCTCAGTATGTGCTGATGTGCTGGTATAGGCTAAAAAATTTAAATGAAAACGCAGACTTACTCTGCTCTGCTTTAAGCTTTAGCTCAGCTATAGCCGCTTTTCTCGCATCTCAGTCAGGAAACTTTTCTGCGAAAGTGGAACAGTTTCTCGTAAAACGTCTCTCAACGTTAAATTTTTTACGAGGCTGAAATCAATTTACCCACCACATCATTTAAGGTTGAACCGGAAAATTCGAACAAGAAGCTGGCGAATGAGAAGCGACTTCAGCCTCACGACTTCTTAGTGTTTCACAGTTTCTCGTTGCAGATTAAACGTATCAGGAAACCAGCTGGAGTGATTATAAACACAAATAAGTCCATTCGTCTCCGAATCGTTCTCTTTGCCTTTTCGTTACCTACTAGCTAGGTGAGACTGTTGTCTGCATCGCTATGGTAACAGCATTCTGTGCGTTGATCTTCAGGGTTAAAGGGTGAATTAGCAGTTCTACATTAACTCCAGCGTTTAAGACCATTTATTGTTAAACTGTGTTGAACGATCAGCAGAGCTTTATTTTACTGCAAAGGAGGATTATTTTATTTTTACCTACAAATGAAATTCTGCTGTGGAGCTGCGACAAGGCAGTAAAAGAGCCGCATGTTGTCGACCCCTGAGCTGCAATAAATTATTAAATATTCCCCATGACCCTCTCCAATCCAGCCTTGTCATAAGCCTTACCTCACACATGAATATGTCAAAGACCCTGTTGGCTGCAGTTAGGGGCAGGCAGGAGAGGAACACTGTGAGGAACCAGGATGAAGAGAATGTGGAGGTGTAGAAGGCGTGAGTTTGAAAGTGAGAATAAAGCTCAGGAAGCTGGTCCTGGACAAGAGAGAAACAGTAGTGAAAGCTATATAGGGGACACTGTGCTGGCCACTTTATTAGAAACCCCTCCGTTGTAGCCCCACCTTGCTGGAGTACAGTTTAAAACAGTAGCCCATCTGTTTGTGTTATTTATCCTCTAGCCTTTCATCAGGGGTCAGTTTCTGACCACAGAGCCGCTGGATATTATTGGGCAGTGGTCCACTCGTACCAGCACCACACACACTACCATGTCTGTCACTGCTGTGCTGAGAATGGATGCCCAAATATCTGGACCAATGGTGGTGGTCAGAAACTGATGATGAATGAGGTGGAGGGAGGCTGCTCGTCCATACATGCACCTATATGGTGGATCTAAAAGGTAAGTGGAGCTCATAAAGTGGCCAGTGGGTGGAAGTATAAGGTCAGAGTTTCTAATAAAGGCAACAAAAGCAATATTGTGTGGGGTAGCCTGGCCAGTATACAGATATCAGTAATAATGTATACATTATCACACTTCTGCACAAGCGGATTGCATATCATTTTACTGTACAGGCTTATGCAGAAGTTAACACAGCCCTGGTCACATTACATACACCAGTCAGGCATAACTTTATGACCACCTCCTTGTTTCTACGCTCATTGTCCATTTTATCAGCTCCACTTACTATATAGGTGCACTTTGTAGTTCTACAGTTACAGACTGTAGTCCATCTGTTTCTCTGCATACTTTGTTAGCCCCCTTTTACCCTGTTCTTCAGTGGTCAGGACCCCCATGGACCCTCACAGAGCAGGTACTATTTGGGTGGTGGATCATTCTCAGCACTGCAGTAACACTGCCGTGGTGGTGGTGTGTTAGTGAGTGTTGTGCTGGTCTGAGTGGATCAGACACAGCAGTGCTGCTGGAGCCTTTAAACACTGTGTCCACTCACTGTCCACTCTATTAGACACTCCTACCTTGTCAGTCCACCTTGTAGAGGTAAAGTCAGAGACTGTAGCTCATCTGCTGCTGCACAGTTTGTGTTGGTCATCCTCTAGTCCTTCATCAGTGGTCACAGGACGCTGCCCACAGGACGCTGTTGGCTGGATATTTTTGGTTGGTGGACTATTCTCAGTCCAGCAGCGACACTGAGGTGTTTAAAAACTCCAGCAGTACTGCTGTGTCTGATCCACTCAGACCAGCACAACACACACTAACACACCACCACCACGTCAGTGTTACTACAGTGCTGAGAATGATCCACCACCCAAATAGTACCTGCTCTGTGAGGGTCCATGGGGGTCCTGACCACTGAAGAACAGGGTAAAAGGGGGCTAACAAAGTATCAGAGAAACAGATGGACTACAGTCTGTAACTGTAGAACTACAAAGTGCACCTATATAGTAAGTGGAGCTGATAAAATGGACAATGAGTGTAGAAACAAGGAGGTGGTCATAATGTTATGCCTGATCAGTGTATTTTATTGCTTGTCTGATTCAAATATGGTGTTTTTCTGCACAATATATAACAAATATTCCATAACTTTTGCACAGATTACCCCCCTCGAGACGTTAAATTGAGTAAATTAACAGTAATTGTCCTTTAAAATGTGCAGAAGTGTGTTCTCTGTAGAGGATGTGTTCACTTATCTACACTCACAAAATCAACAACAACATGTCAATTGACCAGGGGCGCCCAAACTTTTACATACGACTGTAAATGGCAGACTGTGGAATTGTACCTGGATCAGCCCTTCTAGCTGGAACACGCAGCAGCCCAGTTCAACCATGCGGGGCCTGTAGAGCTCTCGCAGCCTGAAGTCCTGCATGAGCCTCAAAAACACACCAAAGGCCTCCACCTCTGGCATCTGTAGTGTAACAAACACATTAGTTCCAACTGAGTTAACCTTTAACCCATATCTGACACTGTAGTTACTGAAGCAATAGAACCCAAGAGGGAGTGTGTTATCACGAAATCACACCTCGGCTGTGATTTGGTCACCGTAGATCATCACAGCCATGATGTTATTGGCGATAACACACTCCTCGAGTGTTCTATTGCTTTTATACAACAGTTAAATAAATAAAGTAATAAATTAATAAACTGGGTCGTGAACGCGGCGTTTAATATGTTTTAATGTTCGCAGTTCCTTCCGCCAAATTATAGTTCCTTAACAAGCAGCTTGTTGCTACGTCAGAGTAACGAACTCCACCCACTCGCTGCACAGCCGGTAGTTCGTTCTCCAGCTCCTTACACTAAATTCCCAAACTGTCATCACCACTGAGCAGCTTTTGTTTTTTATTGCTGCAGTTTTATGACTCAGTCTGATTTGGTCAGACTCTGAAGATCAGACTACACGTTTGGTGAATGGTATTGGGTTCATTTCTGGCTGATTCCAGGTTGTTTAGCTGTTCTTCTGTCACAGCTGCCGACTGAAAAGCTGCTCAGTGGTGATGACAGTTTGGGAATTTAGTGTCGTCTCATCTTCAGAGTCTGACCAAATCGGCTGTCGGTCAAATGTGATCTGAAAAGTGTCCATTTTCTGTTTGTGGCAAAATTAGAAGTAAAAATGTTCAAATGGCTCGAGCGTCTCCTATCAAAGTTGTTGCTTAGCAACAGCGTCTTAGCGGAGTGATAGTTACAGTGTTTGTGAAAAAACTAGAACACTTCTCAACCAATCAGCCTGCATGGCCGGAACTAACTGTTGTATAATGAGACATAAAGCAAAAAGCTATGAGAGGCTGTGGGTTACTGCGATTTTACCACAGCGAAGGGTGTTCTTTGGCATGACGCGAAACAGAGTGCATAATACTCCCTTTACTGTGATCACAGTAACGCACTGCCTTGAGTGGCTTATTGCTTATTTCATGATTTTTAAAAATTTTTTTGTATAACAGTGAACATATGATAACACATCACTGTTTAATGAAAATACTTTCAGTTTATAAGTACTTTTTGGTCACCAAATTACATTCTTTCTACTTTTATACTGCCGTTTTTACTGAATCATATCGTAAGTACTTTAATTCAACCCTCTGATATTAATGTTGGAGTTGTTTAGCATGCTTGCTATCTGTTAGCCTGTTGGCTAACTGACCAGCCTAGTTCTAGATAAGAAAATAAGTTGTCAGCCCCTCAGTTTAAACAAAAACGGGTTTGTGCTTCATCAGTTCACTCAGTGCTCCATGTGATCAGCAATAGAGTCAAAGATTAATCCATTAACAGCAGAAGGGTTTTCGTGCTGTGGCGCAGTGATACAGAGTTCAGTCGCTGTGAGGCGGTCACAGCCGTGGTATATCGTGGATTTTACAACGGCTTTGAACGCGGCCCAGCCAATCAGATTTCAGGACCAGAACTATCCATTTTATAATTCATATTAGATACTGAATAGTTAATAGATAATGATAATAACTGAATAATTATATTGAATGACTGCATCCAAACAACCATGGTTCAGTCTGTGAAAGTTCAGAGTAGAGTTAGAGCAGTAACTGCAATAAAAACAACAACCTTTCCCAAAACTAATAATTAAAAGAATCCTCGTTAGAGGATGTATTACCTGCATGAGTAACAGTCCAGCTATGAATGCACTTCCCTGGTTGTATCCAACTTCATGGTCTAGAACTGAATAAGCCTGAAACGAAGATAAACAATCAAATGGTTTATTTGAGCTGATTTCTAAGAAGTTTGAAAAATGACATTTAAAGGAATGGTTCAGTAATGATTTACACAGTTGTCCCCTCCCCCCCCAAATGTAGTAGATCAGACAAGATTTGATTTCTTGTCTGCAGTTGCTAATTGGTGTACATAAGCCTCTATTACTTTAGCCTACGTTAGCCTCATAATAGAGGCTTATGTACACCAATTAGCATCATGCAAGACTGCATGCCTAAATCATCACATCCTTGCCTCGAAATATATCAGATTGTTAAGTCGAATTAAATAGACTTAAATAGATCATTTTATTGTGAAACCAACACATCTTAAGACATTTTCTGTAATAACACGGAAAACTACTGTAAGGTTGAAGGTGCACTGTAATTTCACCGTAACATTGTTAACAGATGTTATACAACAGTTAGTTCCGGCCACGCAAGCTGATTGGTTGAGAAGCGTTCTAACTGTGCTGTTATTTCGCCATAGCATCACGTTTTTTTCACAAACACTGTATCGCTCCGCTGAGCAACAACTTTGACAGCTGTAGGAGACGCTCAAGCCATTTGAACACCTTTACTTCTTACTTTGCCACAAACAGAAAATGGACACTTTTAAAATCACATTTGACCGACAGCCGATTTGGTCAGACTCTGAAGATGAGACGACACTAAATTCCCAAACTGTCATCACCACTGAGCAGCTTTTCAGTCGGCAGCTGTGACAGAAGAACAGCTGAACAACCTGGAATCAGCCAGAAATGAACCCAATACCATTCGCCAAACTAAATGGGCTGTAAGATGCTTTACAGACTGGCTGGAACAAAACAACATTAATACTGATCTGGCAAAAACTGACAAAACTGAGCTGAACTTGATATTGCGGCAGTTTTAAGCCTCAGCCCGTACTTCAAAAGGTGAGGCTGACAGCAGACTGTGCAGCGAGTGGGCGGAGCTCGTTACTCTGACGTAGCAACAAGCTGCTCGTTGACGAACTACAATTTGCCGGAAGGAACTGCGAACATTAAAACATATTAAACGCCGCGTTCACGACCCAGTTTATGTATTTCTTACTGTATTTATTTAACTGTTGTATAAAAGCAATAGAACACTCGAGGAGTGTGTTATCGTGAATAACATCACAGCTGTGATGATCTACGGCGACCAAATCACAGCCGTGATGTTATTTTGTGATAACACACTCCCTCTCGTGTTCTGTTGCTTAATAAGCTTCCATTGCTTGTTAGCTAGTAGATGCAGCCCAAAATTAAAGAAGCAAACTTTGATTTTCAGAAGCAAAACTAACTAAACTCACTAAACACTCCTTAACAACTTCACACAGAGTAAAATAACCTTAAGCACGTTGAAGAGCGGCTGCTGGATGCTGCTGTGCAGACCCTGGAAGAGCTGATGCTGGGAGAAGATTCTGCTCAGGTCTTTCTCGATCACTTTCTCACACGGACAGGTCTTCTGCAGCAGCTCAGAGTACTGCTCCCGCACAGACACGCTGTGCGCATTGCACAGCATCTGCCACACCGTGGGCCGGAAATGAGGATGGATCCCTTTCCTTATCATCTCCTGAAGAGGGAGACAGAAAACCGGTTTATGAAGTGAAAGCATCAGTTATATTTACAGATAATACTGTTAAATTCTAACAACAACCTGAAACCTGGTGAGACTACAGCTTGTATTCATAGTCAGTGATGTTTCTGGAGCTTCCAGAAGTTTTTTTCACTCAAAATTGGTCACATTATAAATCATAATGTGATTGGTTGATTCCTCACTTCCTAATTATGTCAGTTTATCTGACTGAAGTCTTAACCAATGGGATCTACCTTAAAGCCTTAGAGGAAAAATCCTGATTGGACACGCTGTCGTTTGGCATTTCAAGAATTTAACCCTTGTGTTTCCAACCAAAACTTAATAATGAAACAGTAGTGTTACTACAATACTTGCAGAGTTGAAACTGGACCTGAAATTGGAATCACTGTGTGTACAGCGTGTATGTAGAAGTGAAATCGCTGAGTGAAGATGTGACGAAACTTGATTGACTCAGACTGTATGCGTGTTTGTGTGTGGTCAGGGTTTGGAGATCGTGTTCCGTGTGGGAATGGCCATCCTCCAGATGACCCAGACTGAACTGCTGAAGCTGGACATGGATGGTATGACACAGGTGAAAACTACTTTAACAGCCATGCTGTCCATAAAGAAGATTACCAGAAGATTAACCCCTTAAACTGCAGGCCTGTTATTGAGTTACTGATCTTAAAATGAATCTGTAACTACTGTGAATCAGAGACTACTATAAAGCAAATATGAACGTTATGTAATTGTAGTTTGTAAGTTTAGTCACTAAAATTACCCTCTGATCTCTAAGAGACAACAGTGGGAAGAAATGTTTGAATAATTAAACATAAACCTGAATGATTATCCCTTGTGTGCTGTCCAGGTCTGTGGGACCCAGTTTCAATGTTTCCCAAAAGAAAAAATGATGCGATTTATTATTATTTTAACCTCAGATTCTTGGTCTTTGCCCATTTTCTGTGAAGAACATATAAAATAACCCATTTTCAGTGTCTTCACTCTGTTCACCCCCCTCACATTTATATTACACATGTGGTGTTGGGTGAACCTGCGGGGAGTAAAAGTGTGGAGGTGCTGTGTCCTTCACACTGTTCTCCTCCTAATTGACCTGCTGTTAGTGTGTGTGTGCGTGTGTGTGTGTGTGAGGGTGGACAACATGGTCTTCATCTTATTGTCTTAAGTGTTTAAGTATTATGTTGATATTTTTCCAATGTTTAAAAAAGTTTCAAATGAAAGTATTGTAACTGTTTACAATGCAAATTCAATAAGATGCTCCCTAATTAAAATATTTAAATAAAAAAAATCCATTCTGTGTTGATATTAGGTCTGATATACTGTTAATATAATTTTTTTTTCTTATATTATTATCAAACATGTACAGGGTACGAACCATTTCATGCATATACTTTGACACTCTTACAGAAGCTGAATTAGATCATTTATGTTTACTGAATGAAAAAAAAACATTGCGTTGACTCTGTAATAACTTAAAGCACGGATGGAAAGAACATTAAGGGCACAATAAAGAGTGCATCCAAAATACAGGTGAATTAACACATTATCATAACAGTGCTGAGCATCAAACTGGGTTTGTTTTATGGAAACATCTGCAGACACCAATATAGTGTCAGCATTAGAGTGAGTCCATTACTGTTACTGTTACACATCTTGAAAAAACACATGCAAGAAACACCAAGATCAAGTTTCCTGTGCCTCTACCTTCAACTGTTTTACTTTCTTCTTGCTCCATTCATCCCAGTTGTCAACAACACAACCCCAAGTGCTGGAGTCTTCCTCGAAAGAGAAGATTTTTGAAGAACAGGGGCTTCGCAGGACGCCGTTCACAGAGTATAAGGATTTACTGTCAGTTTCCAACAGCCTGCAAAGACAAATGATAACAGTCACGCCATCAGCGCTGTAATAATTCAGGATCGATGGATCAACATCCTACTGAAAAGTGTGCCCTTCGTGTGAAAAGGATAAGGATTAGTGACATGGTTAGTGAGCTTCAATCCTGTAACAGAGGTACACTAACAGCTGTACTGAGAACACATTTCAAGATGATGATGGTGCCAACAGCACAGAAAGCCAATTCGCAGAGCCTGTCCTTCATTACGGCTGATGCTTGTTAGGTATGGCTAGTGATGGACTGAGAATGTGGCGGCTCCCACTTGCTCTGGGTTGCAGAGGGGGCTTTAGAGGGGTGGTATGCAAAACTACACTCTCAGAAAAAGAGGTACTAAACTGGGGTGGTACCCTCAAGGGTACATCTCAGCACCTTTAGTCAGGGAACATAACTGAACCATAATCCACTGAAATGATATTTTGACTCCACACACCCCGTCTCGCCTCCAGGCTTTTTATTTTATTGCTCTGTTAGGTTATGGAAAGGTGCAAATACATATTTTTCCACTGGGAAAAACTTATTTAAGGTACACAGTTGGACCTTAAAACCACGATTGTACAACCCCATTTCCAAAAAAAGTTGGGATGCTGTGAAAAATGTAAATAAAAGCAAAATGCAACAATGTGCACACCATATAAACCCTATGTTTCATTGAAAATGCTTAAAAGACAACATATCAATGGAAGTTGGAATGGAAAAATTTTATTGTTTTTTGAAAAATATATGCCCATTTTAAATTTGATGCCAGCAACACATTCCAAAAAAGTTGGAACGGGGGCAACAAAAGGCTGGTAAAGTTGCGTAATGCTTAAAAAAACACCTTGTGGTTTAACAGGTCAGTAACATGATTGGGTATAAAATGAGCATCTCAGTCTGAGTATTTCAGAAGTAAAGATGAGGAGGGGTTCACCACTCTGTGAAAGATTGCACAAGCAAACAGTGCAACAATTGAAGAATAACATAAAATAGAAAAAAAGAACTTTTGCTTTACATCATCTACGGTACATAATAACATTAAAAGAATCAGAGAATCTGGAGAAATCTCTGTATGCAAGCGACAAGGCCAAAAACCAGTATTTGTAAACACTGTCTGTGAAAACAGTTTGTCGCTCCATCCACAAATGCTAATTAAAACTCTCAAACGCAAAGAAGAAACCGTATATAAACAGGATCCAGAAATGCTGCCACTTTCTCTGGGCCTGAGCTCATTTAAAATGGACTGAGGGGAAGTGGAAAAGTGTCCTGTGGTCTGACGAATCAACATGTGAAATTCTTTTTGGAAATCATGGACACTGTGTCCTCCGGGCTAAAGACCACTCAGCTTGTTATCAGTGCACAGTTCAAAAGCCAGTATTCATGATGGTATAGGGGGGCATCTACGAAGGCACCATTAATTCTGAACGATATATATATATATATATGTTTGGCAACATATGCTGCCATCCAGATGACGTCTTTTTCAGGGAAGGCCTTGATTATTTTAGTAAGACAATGTCAAACCACATTCTGCATGTATTACAACAGCATTGCTCTGTATTAGTCCGGGTGCTAAACTGACCTGCCTGCAGTCCAGATATGAAACTATCCAGAGTGTTTCATATATTGTTTCTCAGAAACCACCATCAACAATTAAAACTAGGCATCTGTGTGCATCCTGTCTGTGTTTGTACTGTTTATAGCTCAGCTGCTCTGTTTTATAGCTAACATCCTATTTTTCACAAGGGCGCAATACTAACTAAACACTGGACATAAGCTAATGCTAACACGGTAAGGCTATCTTAGCTTAGCTAATTAGTTACCTAGTGCAGACAGGTTTAACGACTAACTAAACACCGGACATAAGCTAATGCTAACACGGTAAGGCTGTCTTAGCTTAGCTAACTAGTTACCTAGTGCAGACAGGTTTACTGACTAACTAAACACCGGACATAAGCTAATGCTAACACGGTAAGGCTATCTTAGCTTAGCTAATTAGTTACCTAGTGCAGACAGGTTTAACGACTAACTAAACACCGGACATAAGCTAATGCTAACATGGTAAGACTATCTTAGCTTAGCCAATTAGTTACCTGGTGACGACAAGTTTAACGACTAACTCACCACTCACATTTTGGAGAATATCTAGAAGAACTGAACCATTTTCCTGAGCGTTACCATGGCAACAGCGCTGAACAGAAGTTAAAGCCTGTAAACGGTGGAAAAGCAGCTCATCTCACCTTTTTCTCCTTCGTCTCGCTCTAATAATGAAGCTGAGAGCTGATCAGAGTTAATTATCTTCTCAGCGAAGCTCGTTCTGCTCGTTAGTTTGTGCTGATGATGCTCGTGATTCATTCACGTGACGTTACTGAGTAGGATGAGCTCATGAGGGTCATTTCAGGACGCCGGTTCGTCACATTAATGACAGATTTGAGTCACTTAGCTAAACGAGTGTGAACCATCATGTCAGAGAGATCGGATCTGAGCAAAAAAATCGGATTTGAGCAATGAGGCTTGTAATGTGAACGTAGCCTAATATTTGATCATGACGTAGAGATTGTCTCGTATATACGTGTAACTGTCTGGTCGATACACTGCAGGCTTATTAATAGAGTTTAACGGGTGAATCTATGTGGGTGGAAACCAGTAAAAGTGACCTGTTCTGCTCTTCCAGCTTGGCCAGTAACTTCCTCTCATCTGGGCTGAGCTGAGATGAGTGGTGGGAAGAAGAAGGCGGGACAGAGAGAGAATCCATCACTTCTGCAAAAGAGAAAGCAAATGGCACAAGGGAAACCACAAACATGCAACAATGAACTTCACTGTATGCCCAAAAGCATCTAGCACCCAGCTGGGATTCCCAAACTTGCATAATGCATGCTGGGTAATGTAATGAGAGAACACTGAAGGACAAAAAACATGAAAACTATACAAAATCCTGAATTCTGACAAACAGATGAGGCTGAGGGTTGCCATGTGTATTACAGAATACTACACAAATAACACATTAAATGCTAGTTTAAATTTCAGAAGAAATGCTGGACGGATACTTTAGACATACTGTGTTTCATCTCAAGTTCAAACCCTTTAGAGTCAACCCGCTTTTCCTTTCAGGAAGGCTATTTGTGACACTGCATAGTGGGTTAAGATATACACCGATCAGGCGTAACATTATGACCACCTCCTTGTTTCTACACTCATTGTCCATTTTATCAGCTCCACTTACTACATAGGTGCACTTTGTAGTTCTACAGTTACAGACTGTAGTCCATCTGTTTCTCTGATACTTTGTTAGCCCCCTTTTACCCTGTTCTTCAGTGGTCAGAACCCCCATGGACCCTCACAGAGCAGGTACTATTTGGGTGGTGGATCATTCTCAGCACTGCAGTAACACTGATGTGGTGGTGGTGTGTTAGTGTGTGTTGTGCTGGTCTGAGTGGATCAGACACAGCAGTGCTGCTGGAGTTTTTAAACACCTCAGTGTCGCTGCTGGACTGAGAATAGTCCACCAACCAAAATATCCAGCCAACAGCGTCCTGTGGGCAGCGTCCTGTGACCACTGATGAAGGACTAGAGGATGACCAACACAAACTGTGCAGCAGCAGATGAGCTACAGTCTCTGACTTTACATCTACAAGGTGGACTGACAAGGTAGGAGTGTCTAATAGAGTGGACAGTGAGTGGACACAGACTCCAGCAGCACTGCTGTGTCTGATCCACTCAGACCAGCACAACACACACTAACATACCACTACCACATCAGTGTCACTGCAGTGCTGAGAATGATCCACCACCCAAATAGTACCTGCTCTGTGAGGGTCCATGGGGGTCCTGACCACTGAAGAACAGGGTAAAAGGGGGCTAACAAAGTATGCAGAGAAACAGATGGACTACAGTCTGTAACTGTAGAACTACAAAGTGCACCTATATAGTAAGTGGAGCTGATAAAATGGACAATGAGTGTAGAAACAAGGAGGTGGTCATAAAGTTATGCCTGGTGTATTTAGGCCTCATAATTGGGAAACAAGACTTACCAGTGCCCAGTGTTGATCTCACGGGGGCTGAATCTATCCAGATCTCTTGGAAATCCTTTCTTTTTGTCTTCCTGTCAGCACTATTCAAGTCTGGACCAACATTTTGCTCTCACACCTGCTTACACGAGTGAAGAAAAGGCCGTTTGGAAATCACATGCTGTTCATTTAGCATCTCAGTCTGGTCAAAGTTCTTTCGCAAGAAGGCCTCAGCCAATGACTTACAGATACAGTAACTGTTTGGTGACCTGAATAAGCAACTTCCTCTTGCCACTTCTCCCAGATCTTTATATATGTCTCCAAGGTTTATCTAGGACAATGCCATCCTGTCAGGAAAGGGAAGCTCCAACTAAGTGAACGAAAACACGAAACAGTTAACAGCCACTCAGGTGATGAGTTTAATAGTGTAGATATTTAGAGAAGAAGTGGATGTTGTTTATTGAGGTCGTTGAGGAAGCTACACTGTACCACTGTGACTTTACAACAGCGGCAGGGTGGAACTTTTCCTTTGCAGAGTTGCTACACAGCTTTAGAGAAGTGAGAAGTGTTACACTAATGTTTTCAGCCTGTTTGTACACATCATACAGGTTTTAAAGAAACAGCTCAGGCAAAAAAATCCAATTTATAATTTTCCAATTTTCCCTTCAGTCTAAATGTAGTCGATCAGCCAAGACATCTTTACTGTCTGAAGCTTTCCTCTTTAGTTTTGCACTGCAGCTAAGAGGCTAATGTAGCTAACCAACAATAAAAGCAGATACCAATTAGCTTGGCGCTAACTGCATGTCTAAATCATCACACATTCATCTCAAACCATGTTGACCAGTGCACCAGCATTCAAAACACAACATTTTGCTGTTGTTGGAAGAAAACCTTTATGGTAACTTTACAGGAGAAGGAAAAAACCTACTTTACTTTCAATGAAAGTCAATGGAACCAGACATTTTTCCAAGTCATTTTGGGTCGTTTCTTTTGGTCCATTCATCATGAGGTTTACACACAATGTAAAGAGCAGCAGGCATTTTCAACATACGTCAAAAACTGAAAAACAACAAAAATGGAGATATGAGGTTTTCCTCTGGAGGCAGTGATATGCTGGTTTTGGTGGTGACCAGCCATGTTGCAACTATGCTGGGTTGTCTAGCCGGGAATCTGGAGGCTCTCAATGCAAATGTGTTTTCTGTAATTGTACATATTTCGACTTGTTTGTCTGAGTAATAACAATAATTTTCAATTATTTTCAATTGAATTATGTCAACTTTTGCTACGTTTACATTACCAGGCTGAAGTGGCACAAATCCGATTTTTTGCCCTAATGTGACTCAGATCTGACGTTTTCAGAGCAGCATGGACACAAATCTGATCTCTTCAAATCCGACCTGAGCCACTTTCATATGTGGTCCTAGATCGGATACATATCTGATTCCATGTGACCTTAATGTGACGCTCAGATCGGAATTCATGTGCTTTTTCTCCACTGCGCGTGCGCCATCATTCAGTGTTACCATGGCAGCAGCGCCGAACAGAAGTTAAAGCCTGTAAACGGTGGAAAAGAAACACATCTCACCTTTTTCTCCTTCGTCTCGCTCTAATAATGAAGCTGAGAGCTGATCAGAGTTAATTATCTTCTCAGTGAAGGTTGAGTTTTCTCAGATAGACTTGATTATGTGGGTTCTGAGACAGTAGAACACTGTAATCTATAAAAATGAACAAAATTATGTTAGCATAGCTAAAAACAGTCGCAGCCGCCATCTTGAAGACTGAATTTTGTTCACCCAGTTGTGTTTATCTTTATAAATAATACGTTATATAGTGTCAGAAATCACTGAAGACAGTGAAAGCATTCTGGAAACCAGCTAAACTCTACACTCTGTAAAGAAAAGACGGTTCTTTAAGGGTTCTTTAGTAAAGAAAATGGTTTTATATAGAACCATGAACACTCAGAGTGCCCTTTGCATGGTTAAAGGGTTCTTTGCATTGTGAAAAGGTTTTTGAGATTGGTAAAGAATGTGCTTTATATGGCTCTATATAGAGCCTCTTTGAAAAGGGTTCTATCTAGCACCAAAAAGGGTTCTGCTATTGTGGCAATGTCAAGCTTGTAACAACAGAAGAACCCTTTTGGTGCTATATGGAACCATTTTCAAAGAGGTTTCTTTATAGAGCCATCTACAGCACGTCCTCCATCACTTCTTTGAGTGTTCATGGTTCTGTATAGAACCATTTTCTTTACCAAAAACCCTTGAAGAACCATCTTTTTTGAGAGTGTACGACATATTCTCCACCGATCTGAAGAAGCACTTCACCATGCAAAGAACGTTTTAAGCATGCCAACTGTTCTATATAGAAATCATGGTTCTAAACAGAACCTTTCCTTTACAACAGAACCTTTGAAGAGCAATCTTTTTTAAGAGTGTGTATAGAACTCATGATTGTAAACAGAAGAACTGCCTTTACGAAAGAACTTGTGAAGAACCATCTGTTTTAAGTGTGTATTAAACCAACCACCATGATTAAAGGGTTCTTTGCATCAGGAAAGGGTTCTTCAGATTGATGGAGAATGTGCTTTAAATGGTTCTATATAGAATCGTTTTTTAAAAGTGTTCTATATAGCACTAAAAAGGTTCTTCTACTGTTTCAAGCTTGACATCGGCACAGTAGCGGAACCCTTTTTAGTGCTACCTCTTTGAAAACAGTTTCATATACCACCAAAAAGGTTCTTCTGTTGTTACAAGCTTGACATCGTCACAATAGTAGAACCCCTTTTGGCGCTATATAGAACCCTTTTCGAAAAGGTTCGGCATAGATCCATATAAAGCACATTCTTCATCCATCTAAAGAACCTTTTTACCATGCAAAGAACCCTTTAATCATACACAGGTTTCTTTGAGTCTATATAGAACCATTTTCATTACTAAAGAACCCTCAAAGAACCTTATTATTTAAGAGCGTAGCTACATTTACATTGTCATTTTCCAGTAGCTTGCTTATCAGAACCACTTACAAAGTGGTGGAACGTTACAGTGATGGAAAATGTACACAGGGTACCTTTGTGATCTGAAGGATGAGAGTCTTGGCCTAGTTTGATCGAGTACCGGTGGAACCCAGGCCAAAAAATGAAGAGAACAAAAGTATTTCTGAGTAAAACAGGGCAGAATAAGCAACAACTAGCCCAGCAGAACAATCCTGGCAAGTGACCTAAAAAAAAGTTATATAGAAAAAAATGAAAAATGCAAAATATACACAGATTAAAACTCATAATCAGTGTTTCCCAGATCTCTGAAACAAACCTGCGGAGCACTGAGGGGAGATGGGGAGGTGTTTTTGAACATATCTGAACTCATCACAGCATTTGTTTACTTAATAAGGCATGAAATAAGTGAATATTAAACCTTCCACGTTCTTGGTTTTAGATGTGAAGCACCTCATGGATTTGATTCAACTCAAGATTTAGGCCGTTGGGACCGCAGGGGACAAAGAGTGATGCTTTACATCAGTGACACTGTGCGTCCGTGTTTATTTATAACAATATCAACTATTTTCTCTTTGGAATTTCATTTCATTTATTACAAAACATACTTCGGTGGCCATCAATATACTTTGTTGGGGTACAGCAAGAAATACATTAAAAATGATTTAATTTTGATTTGCTGAAATATAATGTAGCCTAAACAAATAAACTAACCAGTAAACGCACAGAAATTATGAATTAATGTGCAAAAAAACGAATATGCATGATAATAAATGTAAGCTAATGTGCAAAAAATATTTTTTAAATGATTTTATTTTGATTTGCTGAAATATAATGTAGCCTAAACAAACAAACTAACAAATAAATGTACAAAAATTATAAGTTAATGTGCAAAAAATACAAATATTCATGATAATAAATGCAAACTAAAGTGCTGAATATATTTTTAAAATGATTAAATTTTGAATTGCTGAAATATAATGTAGCCTAAACAAACAAACTAACAAATAAATGTACAAAAATTATAAGTTAATGTGCAAAAAATACTAATATTCATGATAACAAACGCAAACTAAAGTGCTAAAAGTATTTTTTAATTATTTAATTTGAATTTACTGAAATATAATGCAGCCTAAACAAACAAACTAACAAATTAACGCACACAAATTATTAGTAAATGTGCAGAAAAAGTGCGCAGAAACCGCACGTTGGTGCGCACCGACCCCAGCTGTGCTCCTGTGAGTGAGTGTAACGCCCCTCCGCGCGGGCAGGGGGCAGTGTGTGCCGTGTGCGCTCGCGCTGCCCTATTTCCTGCCCCGTGCCCTGGTCCGCTTCCTTTTCTCAGTGCAGCGGGAGCAGTATCGGAGTCTAAGGGCTTCATCTCCTGACCGGGGAGATCTAACGAGCGCAGAATGGTCAGTAAAAATCAACCAAAACCTACTGAATACCCTCCGAGGCCTTCACGCGGCCCTGCCGTGGCCTCGTGAGCGGGGTTCGCGCGCTGTGGCGCGGGGATGGTGGTAGATTGTGGCGGTCTTGCCCCTCAGCCCCGAGCTCAGACTCTCACGGGGCAGCTCCGCTTCTGAACCGGAGACGCGCGCGGGGCCTTTAATCGCTCATTTCATTAACTAATCAAAGGAGCACGTGCGTGGAACCTTCAGTCGCGCACGCGGGGAAACGTCAAACGCGCCCCTGCCAGCGTTAAAGCGTCACCTGTGCAGGTGGACGGCAGAGCTGGACTGAAGTGCGGGCAGTAACTGAAGGAGGAATGTAGTTATGGTTATTAATCTGGTTATTAATGTAGTTTTGATTTAAATGGTAATATTTACATGTTCTTTTGGGTTGGTGGTTCTATACACACTTAGAACAGATGGTACTTCTGGGGCTCTTGAGTAAAGGCAGTAGTTCTGTTTAGAACCATGAGTTCTATGTACACTTTTTAAAAAGATGGTTCTTCAAGGGTTCCTTAGTAAAGGCAGTAGTTCTGCTTAGAACCATGAGTTCTATATACACTCTTAAAGGGGTTCTGTAGTAGGGGGATGGTTCTGTTTAGAACCACGAGGCCTATAAGGAACCTGCTTAAAGGGTTCTTCGCATGGGGAAGTGGTTCTTCAGATTGATGGAGAATGTGCTGTACACTAATTAAAAAAGATGGTTCTTCAGGGGTTCCTTAGTAAAGGCGGAAGTTCTGTTTAGAACCATAAGTTCTATATACACTCTTAAAAAAGATTGTTCGTCAAGGGTTCTGTAGTAAAGGGCATGGTTCGGTTTAGAACCACGAGTAGTATATAGGACAGTTGACATGCTTAAAGGTTCCTTTGCATGGTGAACTGGTTCTTCAGATTGATGAATGTGGTACACACTTAAAGACGGTTCCTTAGTAAAGGCAGTAGCTGTGTGTAGAACCGTAAGTTCTATATGCACTCTTCAAGATTGCTCTGTAGAGGTTCTGTAGTAAAGGGAGTGGTTCTGTTTAGAACCATAAGTTGGTTCAGATTGATGGAGAACGAGTTGTACACTCTTAAAAAGATGATACTTCTAGGGTTCTGTAATAGGGTAATAGATCTGTTTAGAACCAAGTTTTCTACATAGAACGCATGGAGTGATGAGTTCTTTGAATCAGGAAAGGGTTCTTCAGTTTGGAGGAGAATGTGCTTTAGACAGTGTTATACTGAACTTTTTTAAAAATGGTTCTGTATAGCACCAAAAAGGTTCTTCTGTTGTTACAAGCTTGACATAGTCACAGTAACAGAACTCTTTTCAGTGCTATGTAGAACCCTTTTCAGAAAGGTTCTATATAGAACCATCTAGAGCATATTCATCAATCTGAAGAACCTTGTCATGATGCAAAGTATTGTTAATCATGCAGAGGGTTCTTTGAGTGTTTATAGTTCTATATAGAATAATTTCCTTTACTAAAGAACACCTGAAGAACCATCTTTTAGACCGTATATGGTTCTATATAGCACCAAAAAGAATTCTTCTGTTGTTACAAGCTTGACATCATAATAGCAAGGAACGCTTTTAGGTGCTATGTAGAACCATTTTTAAAAGGGTTCTGTTTGGAACCATATACAACACATACTCCAAGCTGAAGAACCATTTAATCGTGCAAATGGTTCTGAGTGTTCATGATTCTATATAGAACCATTTTCTTTACTAAAGAACCCTTGAAGAACCATCTTTTTTAAGAGTGTATATGGTTCTATATAGAAGCTTTTTTTAAAGAAATGGTTCTGTATAGCACCAAAAAGGGTTCTTCTGATGTTACAAGCTTAACATCATAATAGCAAGGAACCCTTTTAGCTGCAGTATAGAACAATTCCAGAAATGTTCTATGTGGAACCATGTACAACACAAGCTGAAGAACCATTTAATCATGCAGATGGTTCCTTTAGCGTTAACGGTTCTATATAGAACTGTTGTCTTTACTAAAGAACAGCAGGTAAAAGTGGCCCAAATCTGATTTTCTCACCAAATCCGATTTTTTTTTGGCTGTTCACATTGTCTTTAAATGAGATCTGTATGCGACATCAGTCTGAACAGATCAGCTCCTAAACTGACCCGCATGTGCAAAAGAACAGTGCTTCACGTGGCTCATCCAAGGGTAAACAGTCAGGACGGCCAGTGAACGCCAGTCGCTCCCGCAGCTTCAGTTCCGTCTTTGCCAGCATCACAGGAGCGATTCTAAAGTTCCAGTGGTTGACAGCTGGACTCATCACCCACAGTGTGTTCGAGTTCGCAGTAAAAAGGGCGTTTTATTCGGCCACGGCCGCTTCTTTGGTTCGAGTCCTCGGATTCTTTAAACTGTTCTGTGACGCTGCAGCCTCGGGCTCCTCCGGCCGCGCTCGGCCGGTCCGTTCGAAACCCCTTCAGACACGGAGCGGCTTGATGAGTCTCTTCTAATGTTTTGGTACAGAAACATCAGACTAAATGTTTCTGAGTCTCAGCAGCGCGAAATTATGACGAATGTCGAATTGGATTGACGTAAAAGTCGCATGAATTCCGATCTGGCTGTTCAGACTGAGTCGCAATGCCGCGGATCGGATACGTATCGGATTTCAGCACCACATATGAAAGCGCCTCAAATCGGAATTGAAAATGTCAGATTCAGTGCGTTTTTGCTGTTCACACTGACACACTGACACACATCTGTGTCACATTTGAGGAAAAAGATCGGATTTGGGCCACTTTTACCTGCTGTGTAAACGTAGGCTTAGTTTATATACGAGTAAATGGTCTTAATTATTGTGGTCATTCACACAGCAGGTAAAAGTGGCCCAAATCTGGTCTTTTCATCCACATGTGACACAGATGTGTGTGTGTCAGTGTGAACAGATAAACACACTGAATCTGTTTCAACTCCGATTTTCATATGTGGTGCTGAAATCCGATACTTTTACGTCAATCCAACTCGACATTCGTCACAATTTCGCGCTGCTGATGCAGTTAATTAGAAGAGATTCATTAAAACCCCAAAAAAGGTTTCTAAAGAAATGTCCGAACGCGGCCGCAGGAGAACGAGGCTGCAGCGTCAGAGAACAAACAGTTAAAAGTCTGAAAGCAAGCTTTAAAGAATCCGAGGACGCGAACCAAAGAAGTGACCGCGCCCTTTTTGCGGCGAGCTGGACCACATTCTGGGTGACGAGCCCAGCCGTCAGTCAGTGAAGCTTCATGGTTGCTCCTGTGATGCTGGTGAAGATGAAACTGAAAGCTCTGGTCGCCGACCTGCATTTGTTTATCGTCATGATCGTTCACCTCTGGATGAGCCACATGAAGCAACGTGACGCGTTGTTCTTCTGCGCATGCGGGTCGGTTTAGGAGCTGATCTGTTCAGACTGATGTCACATACAGATCACATTTAAAAGATACCAAACAAAAAAAAATGGATTTGGTGATAAAATCAGATTTGGGCCACTTTTACCTGCTGTGTGAACACAGCTTTGGATACATATTAGCAGTTTGGATATTGTAGTAGTTTTAATTTAAATAGTAACGAATATTGACATGTTTTTAGTCGGTATTTAGGGGTTTAATTAGCAAAAGAGTCGTCATTCGTTTAAAATTGTGATGAAATGTGGATCTTAGTAGGTTGTGTTGTAGCTGTTTTGTCACTGTAGTAGATATTTCTGTCAGTGTGAATGTTGTAGGACTTATTTAGTCATCTGGAAATGATTGGTTAGTCATTTACGGTGAATATTATGAAAATGCTTAGGTATAAAATTAGCAGTTATTTAGTAGTAACTGGTATTAAGTGTAGTTTTGAGTGAATTTGTAGATGTGGTTTAGTAGTTGTCTGTTCTAACTGCACCTCGTCTAACATCCAGTCTTTCTTTTCCAGGGTTTTGTTAAAGTAGTGAAGAGCAAGGCGTATTTCAAGAGGTACCAGGTCAAATACAGGAGGAGGCGAGGTAACCGGCGCCTTTCATTCTCGGCTTCATATGAATTATTACTGTGAATTTGGCTCGAAGGCCTGTTTCGCACCTACTGCTTCTGGGTGACTACAGTTAAGGGCTGAACGTGATCATGAAAAGGTTCTTCTGATTGATGAAGAATGTGCTGTTGATAGTGTTATGTAAAGCCTTTTTGAAAGGGGTTCTATATAGCACCCAAAAGGGTTCTTCTACTGTAAAGATGTCAGGCTTGTTAGAATAGAAGAACCCGTTTCAAAAGGTTCTGTATAACATTAACAGCACATTGTCCATCAGTCTGAAGAAAGCTTTCATGATGCGAAATACCCTTTAATCATGCAAAGGGTTCTTTAAGTGTTAGTGGTTCTATATCGATTTGAAGAACCAAGTTTAAGTGTGTAAAGCAACTCTGACTTCCTGAGATGTGACGTTAAAGGTATGCAGCCCACATAATATAGTTCAGGGGTCGGCAACCCAAATGTTAACGGGGTCAGTTTTGTCCTTTCAACAAAAATCAGACCACCTTGAGAGCCACAATATCTTATGTCCATTTCATCATCTTGGGTGTAAATATGTCTCAGTATGTGCTGATGTGCTAGTATAGACTAGACAAACACAGACTTGCTAAGCTTTAGCTCAGCTATAGCCGCTTTTCTCACATCTCCAGCAGGAAACTTTTCCCCAAAAGTGGAATAGTTTCTTGTAAAACGTCTCAACATTCAACTTTTCACGAGGCTGAAGTCGCCTCTCCTTCACCAGCTTCTTGTTCCCGTTCCACCTTAAGGAGTGCAGCAGTTACATTCTCACTCAGGCACCATTTAAGGTGGAATGGGAACAAGAAGCCGACGAATGAGCCTCGCGACTTTTTAGTGTTTCACAGTTTCTCGCTGCAGATTAAACGTATCAGGAAACCAGCTGGAGTGATTATAAACACAAATAAGTCCATTTGTCTCCAAATTATTGATGTTCATCTTAAATCTCTCTCTTTGCCGGTTCGTTAGCTACTAGCTAGGCCAGATTGTTATCCATGTTGCTATGGTGACCAGCAGTCTGCGCTGATCTTCAGGGTTAAAGGGTGAATTAGCAGTTCTACATTAACTCCAGAGTTTAAGACCATTTACTGTTAAACTGTGTTGAACGATCAGCAGAGCTTTATTTTACTGTAAAGGAGGATTATTTTATTTTTACCTACAAATCTGATTCAGCTGTGGAGCCACAACAGGGCAGTAAAAGAGCCGCCCGTTGCCGACCCCTGCTGTAGGCTAATATGCCACATAGCTGTGATGTGAGTGTGAGCGTTTGAGGGTAATGAACAGATCACGCTTGTAAAATTTAAACCTTTTGTTTTTTTTACCACTCATAACCCATCAAGCACACTGATGTAGCTGTAGTCTAGCTCCAGTAGCTGCTCAGTTTAGGCTACAGGCTCTGTAGTTGGATATTTTAGGTGAGAAATTAATGGCAGTTCAAAGTTGTATTGGTACCGTTAGCTGGAGTTTGATAGACTCTTATAAAGTAATTTTAATGTGTGCTTTTTCAGTAATCAGTGAGGACAGAGAGGAAAGAGAGCAAAGAGACTGAGAGGCAGAGAGGTAAATTATATAAAATCAATGTAACTGACTTAGTGTGTGTGTGTATATATATATATATATATATATATATATATATATATATATATATATATATATATATATATATATATAAATAAAATATATATATAAATAAAATATATACACACACACACACTTTAAGATGGTTTTCTTTGCATTATGAAATGGTTCTTCAGGTTGATGGAGAATGTGTAGTATAGTGTTCTTCTGTTGTTACAATGTCAAGCTTGTAATAATAGAAGTACCATTTGAGATGCTATATAGAACCATCTACAACACATTCTCCATCTATCTGAAGAATGCTTTAACGATGCGAAGAACCCTTTAATCATGCAAAGGTTTCTTTCAAGTGTTCATGGTTCTGCATAGAACCATTTTCATTATTAAAGAACCCATTTTTTTTTAAGAGTGTAGGTTTCAGTGTGTATTTTCAGCTGACAGTTAGTGGCTACATAGTTCAGTGATTTGTTAAATAAACTCAAACAGGGTAACAAGTTTTTAGGGATGCATTGACACTGTTTTCTTTCCAGACTGAGAAAGTCGATACATAGTCGGCGTAGCAAATGTCGACTTTTTCGCCTCCGTTTGGCTGGCCTATGTGTCTTCACCTGTACTGGGGAAGCAGCTGTGATTGTGTTTTTAAAATGGGCTAAAATCACAGTGTCTGGTGGGAATACACAAAGACAGAATGTTTAAAGTGACCGACAGCTTGGTGTCCGACTGTAACAGAGTCGAAAACACTTCTCTGTTCAAGCCGAGCCTCCTTCACTGCCAGCTTGAGTCGTTTGTTTATTAGCACAGCACTGTACACTCCGCTTACATCACACGGTATCAGCTGATATCAGAATGTTGGTGTCTGTTAATGCCCACAACTTTTAAAGCCTTAACAGATTGCAGAAAGACTGGGCATCTCACGCTATCACACTGGTTTCTGATTTTTTTGGGGACTGAAATATTGGGGATCACACACTACTCAACTTCTAAGCTGTTGAGTCGTTGATCAGTAGATTTTGCTTGGAGTCGGGTCAAGAAAATCAAACCTGTTTGATAAACTCTGGTCTGAAACGCGATCGGGAGGCCAAAAATCTGAGTCTATGCCCCTCAAACACGACTCGACTCTCTCGCCAACTGTCGACTCCAACTGACCCAAACATCTGCAGGCTAGAGCTGACCAGCTCAGACTGAGCCAGACTGAGAATCGGGGCTAAAATCGGGGTAAAAGTCGTGTAGTGTAACGCTGGCTTGAATGAGCACGGTACTGGGCTGATACCCGATGCCGGTATCTGTATCAGTGCATCCCTAGAAAGAAAGAAATGAAAGAAAAGATACATAATTATGGACTGATTAAAAAACAAGCAGTGATTTGGTTTAGACGGAAGAAGAAACTGACATTTGGTTTAGCCACTGCAGAAAATCAGATTTTGTCAGAAATCCGATCAACACATTTACATGCACTTGAGTAATCAGATAATGGGGAAACTCCAGGTCTACATGAGTCAGGCAGTAATCACATTTCTGCTTTGCAACCAGCCAGTAAACTCACAGAGGAAGACGTGACGTAAACGGAACGTAACTTTAAACATTGCGCCACTTTACCTAAAAATATGAACACACATCATCTAGACGATGAAGAATATTTAAATCCTTCATGTCATCAAGCATGTATTTGGTTCAGTCGTCGCTCCAAAAGTGTTTTGCTGCATCTCGCGGCGTCGCTGCTCACTTATTCCCGGTACCTCTGTCTGTTTTCACACATGAGCAGACGGAGACATCCGAAAGAAATCCGAGTAAGAGTTCACATTATGATCGGATTATTGAGTGCATGTAAACAGACTTGCTGTGTGATGTCGGTCACTTTTCACTAAAATGTTGATCTTTAGTTATTAGCCCTGCTCACGCTACCGCGCTGTATGTGTGAAACACACCTAACAGTGGAAACTTAGCACTTAACTGTGGTTATGCAATGTAGCAATGTAGCTTACTTTGTAGTGATGTTCTTGTGTCTGTGATTGTTTGAAACAGAGGGAAAGACCGACTACTTCGCTCGCAAGCGCCTTGTCATCCAGGATAAGAACAAGTACAACACACCCAAGTACAGGATGATCGTTAGATTCTCTAACAGGGATATTGTTTGCCAGGTAAGTTGAGGTTTTTTTCCCCCCAGTTTTCTTACGTTATTTGCTGATGGTAGTCAAGTTTGTTATAATGAAACATTTGATGCACAACATGTTGAACATAAATAAAGAAAACAAATAAAAGTGAAATAATTGAGTGGAATGAAAACTGGAAACACAGCTGACACAAAAAAAAGAATACAGCGCAGTTGGAAACGGGTGAGCTAATGGAGTAAAGTAAGATTTTGAAAAGAGTAACAGCTGATATAGATGGAAAACGTTTTATTTTTATTTTTCTAATAAAGATGGTATTAATTGGAATCTAGCATTAATATTTGTTGTGTTAAGCACACTCCCAACAATGTATGTCATGTAAAAAAATAATAATAATTTTAAAAGTGGTCTATAATGAGTTTTGCTAAAAAAAAAAACCCTAAAATGTAAGGTAAATTTCAGTTTTTCCGTTTTTATTTCACCAGTTTCTGTTATTTGGTAACATTTATTAAGCTTTATGTAGCTTGTTTTGTACATACAGCTGCTGTTTAGTGCAGCTATTAGGAATTTAGGTCTTTGCTGAGTATGACTTCGCTGTGACGTCACTGATGACCTGTATCATTGAAATTAAGACACAATGTCCTGCGTTTGTCTCCAGATCGCGTATGCCAAGATTGAGGGCGACGTGATCGTCTGCGCTGCTTACTCTCACGAGTTGCCGAAATACGGCGTTTCTGTGGGTTTGACGAACTACGCCGCTGCTTACTGCACTGGTCTGCTGTTGGCACGTCGGGTAAGAGCTCTTACACAACACGGCGTAAATCACCATGAATAGAGCTTTTTTAAATGCAGGGGTTTTTGTCTGTTGTAATCAGTCAGAGAATAAAATTTCATCTCAACTGCTTTAAAGTCATTTGTAATGAATTATTAACTGACTTTTGGTTTTTAATACAATATGTCGTACATAAACATTGCAAAAGTCTCAAGCATACCTTTCCGTGCTCATGCTGAAGTTATAAGGGGTGTGTCCATGTGGAATGCTTTTTTGAACGAAGTACGGTACAGGGCAGCCAATTAGAATAGAGCTCATTTACATATGTTTTAAATGAATAATTTACACCATGTTTTTTAACATTATCACTCATTGTGGTGTATAAAACTACACTTATTGCACTTAAGGTGGACTAGAAAATGATTGCAAGTAATATGTAGCGCAGAGACTACTCAGTGTGTTTGAAATAATAAATAAAATAAATATAAATAAATAAAATATAAAAACCTTTTATAGGTTTTAAAGGGTTCTGTAGGAAGAGCTGTGGTTATGTGTTAAACTGCTAACACTCAAAGAACCATTTGAATGCATAAATGAATCAAAACGCCTAAAAGGGTTCTGGTATTGTTGCAAGTCAAAACCTTCTTGGTGCTATATAGAACCCTTTTTTTTGAAAAGTGCACACTTAAAAAAAGATGGTTCTCCAAGGATTCTTTAATAAAGAAAAAGGTTCTGTATAGAACCTTGAATACACAAGGAACCCTTTGATTAAGGGGTTCTTTGCATCACGAAAGTGTTCTTCAGATTGGAGAGCGCGTTTTAAATGTTATTATGTAGAACCATTTGGAAAAGGGTTCTATATATGCACCAAAAAGGGTTCTTGTATTGTTATCGGCTTGACATCATAACAGTAGAAGAACCCTTTTTGGTGCTAATAGAACCCATTTCAAAAAGGTTCTTTATAGAACCATCTACAGCACATTCTACATCACTCTGAAGAGCCATTTAATGATGTAAAGAACCCTTTGATCATGCAAGAGGTTTTGTGTGTTCATGGTAATATATAGGACCATTTTCTTTACTAAAGAACTCTCGGAGAACCATCTTTTTTAAGAGTGTAGGAAGAACGCGGTGTGTGTCTCTGTTCTGTGTGAGTTTGTCAGATGTGTTTATAATGATTCTGAATTGTACTGAAGTAAATCGAGGTGGCGTAAGATTGTCGAGCTGTAAAGGCTGTTATGTTGGATATGCGCCACTAATAATGACTGCTTTTGTTCCTCTGCAGCTGCTGAACAAGTTCAGTCTGGATAAGGTGTATGAGGGCCAGGTGGAGGTGACCGGTGAGGAGTTTAATGTCGAGAGTATCGATGGTCAGCCAGGAGTGTTTAGCTGCTATCTGGACGCAGGGCTCACCAGAACCACCACCGGAAATAAAGTTTTCGGGGCCCTCAAGGGAGCGGTGGACGGAGGACTGTCCATTCCACACAGGTTAGAGCACGCAATGCATCAAGTTACACTGTGCTTGTCGTTACATTACGTAGCCGCATGACTAGCCTGTCCAGCAGGAGTGTTCAGTTCCAGTCTCGTTGGGCTGGACTCGTGGTTTGGTGGTCCTCTGTCTGCTTAAACACCTTATAACACGTCATTATTTACTGTTCAAGGGGAGCCAGCATGTTGACGTGACTTCAGCTCAAAATTAGTCTCTTCAGACGTCTGGTTCCCATCAGTGCTGCTGATGGGAACCAGACGAGTTTCTCTAGAGTGGAGTGTTTCACACCAAACCACTCGGGATGACTTTGTTTTGATTGTTTAATCGTGCAGAAATTTTGAAAAATTGGTGGAGTTCCCCTTTAGCTCATTTATTATTTACTACACGCTTAAAAATGATGGTTCTTTAAAAGTTATTTAAAGAACATGGTTCGATATAAAACCATGAACACTCAAAGAACCCTGTGGAGTTTTCTTTGAGCACATTTATTAGTTACTACACACTTAAATGATGGCTCTTCAGGGGTTCTTTAGTAAAGAAAACGGTTCTATATAGAACCATAAACACTCGAAGAACCCTTTGAATCATTAAATGGTTCTTCAGATTGGAGAAGGTGCTGTGGATGGTTCTATATAGAACCTTTTTGAAAAGAGTTCTATGTAGCATCAGAAAGGCTCCTTCTATTGTTATAAGCATGACATCGTGACAGTATCAGAACCCTTTTTGGTGCTATATAGAACCCTTTTCAAAAAGGTTCTATGTAGAACTATCTACAGCATGTTCATCAATCAAATGAAGCAAATTTCACGATGCAAAGAACCCTTTAATCATGGGGTTTTTTTGAGTGTTCATGGTTATATATAGAACCATTTTCTTTCCTAAGGAACCCTTGCAGAACCATCATGTTTAAGTGTGTAGGTTCAATAGATGGTTAAGCAAGAAAATCAAACTGCTAGACTTGAGTGTTTATGGTTCTATATAGAACCATTTTATGTAAAAACTCTTGAAGAACCGTTATTTAAATGTGTAGGTTTAGTAGATGTTGAGCAAGAAGATCACTGAACCCTGCTGGACTGCAGCTCCAGTGCTGAGACTGAATAACCTGCAGTGAGTAAAACTCTTCAGAGGACTTTCATTGGAATCGTTTTCCTCTCAGCGCTTCAAGCAGTGAAACCAGGGAAACTGTTTTAATCCTGGTTTGTTCGGCTTCTTGATGATGAGCCTCTTGAACTGAGCATTTGTAGTTGGTCCTTCATTTGCACAGTTGATGTTAAACATCGTTTTCAAGACGGGGCTGAGAGGAGCTTCATTTCGGGCGCACTCAGGAGTTTATCAAGCAGGAAGTGCTGGGCATCGTCAGTTTACTTGTGTTGTTGTTGCACAACAGATTTAAAATACATCGTGTAAGGTTCCCTTTCGCTTTGAAGAACCCAGTCGAAACAAGCCTCGTCAGGTGTGTAAGACGTTCCCTCAGCATAAGTTACCAGCACTCAAGAAGCATTAACTTTATTAATGCTAACGTAGAGGTTTTGAGTGAAAGTGGAGGAGCAATGCCTGTGTTTAATGATATATAGGGAGGTAATGATGAAGACCATTGGTCAGTATAGTGTAGTGGGTAACACCTCTGCCTTCTGCGCTGTAGACTGGGGTTCAAACTCCCGCCTGGGTCAGCACCCTGCATTATACCGATAAGAGTCCTTGGGCAAGACTCCTAACACTACCTTCACCTACCTGTGTAAAAATGATTAAATTGTAAGTCGCTCTGGATAAGAGTGTCTGCCAAATGCTGTAAATGTAAGACCAGGGCAAAGTCAAGATCAAGAGGAAAAAATCAAAGAGAAATCAAGCTATTATTTTGGGATGAAGAGTCACAGACTTGAAACAAAGAAGCCATTATTTTGTCAGAAGTCAGAATCCTGAGGAAAATAAGCCATTATTTCAGCAAACATTTTAAAATCTCAAAAATAAGCCATTATTTTAGCACAATCAACAAAATCGTGAGAAAATAAGCCATTAAATCCATTAATTTAGTCAGTGTTTTGCTGAAAAAAGCCAATTTGGCCAAATCAGTGTAATCAACCTCGAAACTAAAGTCATTATTTTGAAATTTAAAAGTCAAACTTGCAGCATACTGCTGCCAGAAACGGAGTGAGGGAAAAACAGGTGATGTTTCTCCTTTAGTTGGGAGTAAATTGGCTTCTAAATTACTGTACTCCTCTGCATTGTGGCTTATGTTGTTCCTGCTTAAATATCTCAGCAAAATGTAAGGCATTTTCGCTGATCTCTTCCTGAAGTGACCGTTGTCATTCGAATAAAAAGTGAGGGTGCCCATCCTTCACTGGCTCCACTGCTCAGGCCATTTTTAATGCCTGTCACGTTGCCCTCTTAACAAAATAACCCCCACAAATCACAAATAGCCACATTTGTGAAGTGTCAGGGGCAAAAAAACAGTCATGGGAGTGGAAGTGTGCACATAAACTCCACCTACTTTACTCTGATTGGCTGTGCCTAGTTTGGTTATTCAGAGTTATATTGAACTTTTTTTTATTTCTGTGTTTCTCAGCACTAAGCGGTTCCCGGGCTACGACTCTGAAAGCAAAGAGTTCAATGCTGAGGTTCACAGGAAGCACATCATGGGCGTGAACATTTCGGAGTACATGAGCTACCTGATGGAGGAGGACGAGGACGCCTACAAGAAGCAGTTCTCCCAGTACATCAAGAACGGAGTCACTCCTGAGTCGGTAAGGAGAAGCACGTTCCACCCTCATCCCACCATGTTTGGTGTCTGAAGTTTTACGCTGGAGCTACACGGCTAATGTAGCTAACAAGTAATGGAAACTTCCACCCCACCAATCAACATGGTGCTAACTGCGTACCTCAGTCATCACCTCAAACCGTGTCAGGTTATCTGTGTGTGCTCACATCACAGGGCACAAATCCAGGTTTTTGCCTTAATGTGACCTGTCTGGTCTTTTCAAATCAGATCTGAGCCGCTTTCATAAGTGGTCTTAGGCTACGTTCGCACTACAAGCCTCACTGCTCAAATCCGATTTTTTGCTCAAATCCGATCTCTCTGACACGATGGTTCACACTCGTTTAGGTAAGTGATTTAAATCCGTCAATGTGAACGAACCGGCATCCTGAAATGACCCTCATGAGCTCATCCTACTCAGTAACGTCACGTGAATGAATCACGAGCATCATCAGCACAAACTAACGAGCAGAACGAGCTTCGCTGAGAAGATAATTAACTCTGATCAGCTCTCAGCTTCATTATTAGAGCAAGACGAAGGAGAAAAAGGTGAGATGAGCTGCTTTTCCACCGTTTACAGGCTTTAACTTCTGTTCAGCGCTGTTGCCATGGTAACGCTAAATGATGGCACACGCGCAGTGAAAAAAATAAAAGCACATGAATTCCGATCTGAGCGTCACATTATGGTCTCATGGCCACGAATCGGACACGTATCCGATCTAGGACCACATGAAAGTGGCTCAGGTCGGATTTGAAAAGATCAGATTTGTGTCCACACAGCTCTGAAAACATCAGATCTGAGTCACATTAGGGCAAAAAATCAGATTTGTGCCACTTCAACCTGGTAATGTGAACGTAGATCGGACACACATCCATTTTGTATTTATTTGTCTCAGGCTTTTGTTTGGCTTAACTGATTAACATGCACTTGCAATGAACTTCGACAGTGAATTAGGAAAATAATTGCAGCCATCTTACGGAACTGCAGTCGGACAGTTGTGTAGTAATAATGACTCGTAGCCATAAAGCCTGGTTTTATTGGCATTTTAGTCTGTTAAGGCTTGAGGTAAGAGTGTAATCTAGACGTGTAGTTTGCACAGTGCTGATTGACGCTTATACTTGCTAGCTGCGTTAGCCTCGTAGCTGAAGTGTAACCCTGAGTTCGCACTGGCACCAACATTTCACCTCTTGTTGCCCAAATCACTGGTCACTCATTCTGAACTCGAGCGAAGCTCTCACTGAAAATGAATGACCTTCAGCTGCTGTGTAGCTCTGCGCTGCTGCTGGTGTGAACGAAAGGGAAAAGTAAAGAACCAACTGCCTTCTGATTAATGGCCATCACCATCGCTTGACCATGAAGCGAATCAGCCTTTAAAATATGGTTTTATCCTGGTTTGTTCGGCTTCTTGATGATGAGCCTCTTGAACTGAGCATTTGTAGTTGGTCCTTCATTTGCACAGTTGATGTTAAACATCGTTTTCAAGACGGGGCTGAGAGGAGCTTCTAAATTTGGCAACACTATAGTGATTTCTCTTATTTACTTTCGTTTAAAGGTGCGATCAGCACTTTCTGTACAAATGAACAGAGTGGAAACCACTCTGGGTTTCAGAAGTTGATCAAACATTTATATTAGTGGTCAAGTAACCTACTAATTAATTGTTTAGATTAATGGAGTAATCCAGCTTTTTAGAAAGGACAAATAATGTATGTATAGGCTTAAATAGTCAATAACAAACCATGCTTTCCAAAGGTTTCATACTCCTATTGAAATATAATGTGGAAAATATAAAAATACAGAGACATTATTTTTATATTTTTTTCATCCAGTGTTTGTATAATTGACAGTCCTGGTTTAAATTAAATGAAGATGAGCTGTGAATAATACCGACTTTAATTTTAATTATGTATGTAAAGAACTTGGCACATTAGCTGTGCTGAAAACCTTTCATTCTCAAAAGTTTAATAAAGCTTCAAAAAGCTCTGCCAGTGAGAATTCATTGTTAATGTTAATGTTAATTTTAAGTCCTGTGATCTGACCTGTAACACATTCCTGGAGAGTAGTAAACAGTGTAAAAGAGCTCCACACAGGAAGAATGTGCTTTTCGTTTCATTCAAACGTGTGAAAACGATGCTTTTAGGGCTGCACGATATGAACAAAACATCAGTATCGCCATTATATTTCTACATATTGCGATGTGCCGTACAGTATATTAAACACATTGGTGAAACAGTGACGTGGTTTAAAGATGAACCTGCATAATTTTGCTTCACATTAATGTACTTTTGTTGGATTACATGAAAACCTACATCAGGACACCCACAGAAACTCCTCTGGATATCTGATTGGTCAAAATGATCAAAGCACATAGTAAATACTCTGATTGGTTTGAGGGCCAGTTTGTGTAGTTAATGGATACATGATATAAATAATAATAATAATAGTAAATAATGTATATTGTGCAGCTCTGCTGGATTTGTTGTTGAGTTCTGGTGTAATTGAGTGTGTGGATGTTCCAGGTGGAGGGAATGTACAAAAAGGCTCATGCTGGCATTCGTGAGAACCCAGTCCATGAGAAGAAGCCTCAGAGAGAGATCAAGAAGAAGAGGTGAGTTCTCGTGGTTTAGCCTTGGTTTGTGAGAGGTGGTGATTTTTGGTTAATATAACTCTTGTGGGGAGGATCTACTGAAAGAGTGCATAATATTCAGTAACGTGTGCAGTGATATACATTCATATACATTCATGAGTCATTTTTAAATTTGAATAAATGTAAGAGTTAAAGAGGAATTCCACCGATTTTTCAAATGTTCTCCATAATTCAGTCACTGAGATTTGAACAGTCATTCAGAGTGGTTTGGTCTGAAATGGTTGATTGTAGAGACTCCGATTTCTTCACAGTGGTGGTGATGGGAACCAGGGGGTCACCATGACTACAACATAAATATAGACATTTTATTTACTATCTAAAACCACCAGTGAACCTACACGAGTCTTCTGAGTTTTATTACCATTAATAGATTTAAAAAAAAAAGGCCAAAATCTTTAAAACTATCATAAAACGGTGAGTGCGTGTACATGCACTTGAGTAATCAGATGGGAAACTCCGGGGCTACATGAGTCAGACAGTAATCAGATTTCTGCTTTACAACCAACCAATAAACTCACAGAAGAAGACGTGACATAAATGTTATGTAAACCTCTAACTTTGTCACGACGAAAAACATCGCACCACTTTACCTGAAAATATGAACCAACATCATTTAGAAGATGAAGAATATTTAAATACTTCATTCACTCCAAAACAGTGTTTTGCTCCTCGCTTATTTCCGGTACCGCCGTCTGTTTTCACACATGCACAGACTGAGACATCCGAAAGAAATCAGAGTAAGAGTTCACATGCACTGAGAAATCTGATTACTGAGCTAAAATCCAGCCTCTTTATTGGATTTCTTAATCAGATTCTAGACCTTACGCCGATCTAAGAAATCAGTGTGCTTTTTACATGACCATCTGAATAATCCTATAACTGCAGAAATCCGATCAATGTCTCAGATACACAGCAGCGTATTTATCACAACTTCATGTAGTAACTTTGTGATGGAGCTTTTAGAGGCATTAAACTCCTCAGACATCTGGTTCCTATCACAAACACTAAGAACAATTCTGACTGTCAGTTTTCACACCAGACCACTCTGAATAACGCTGGAGCGGTCCAGCGCGGTGGCAGATCATGACTAGTCTTCCACATGAGGGTTTTTTTTTTTTTTCCAGTGGATGTGCCATGTTTGTTAGCCTAACACTAAAAACAGAGAAACATTTTTTTTTATTGTTGTTTCTAGCTAAGGGCAGTTAGCCTTTACCTTCTCATTCACAGTTAAGGCACTTACATTTTGTTGTAGCAAAGTATAATTATAATATACATACTATGAATGTGCATTACAACTAATTTTGATATTCGAGTATCCATGAGAGAGAGAGGGAGACGACATACCGAGAAATCAAATGATGTTTTGGTGGCAGGCCAGTTTATTTTTAATAGAAGATTACAGGAAAGGAAGAATTTAGTCTTTTAAATGATGCAGTGAATTGTGTTACAGTGACGAGGGACTGAAAAGGTACAATGGAATGAAGCAAAGATTGTGAAATCTGTATTTAAGACAAGTTTATGGTGTAGCCGAGTTTCTGATACGACCGTGATGCTTCTCAGCAGTAATGAATCTATCTATTTATTTTGCAGGTGGAACCGTAAGAAGCTCACTCTGGCCCAGAGGAATGACCGCGTGGCCCAGAAGAAGGCCAGCTTCCTCCGAGCTCAGGAAGCCGCTGAAGATGAGTGAAGAGATGAACAGTCTGTTCCTGCTCCAAAGAAAGTGTGCACCTTATCCAAATAAAGCATTTGGAAAGGACGTTATTGTTGTGCTGTCTTTATTACGTTTAGTGTTGTATTAGCATTAAGCCGTGTTACATGCTGATGCTCCTTCATGAAGAGGTCAGTTGTAGATGCACGGGCAGCACTGTTTCATCAAAAACAATGTTTAAGGCTGGGGTGCACAGTTCTGGTCCTGGAGGGCTGCTGTCCAGCACAGTTTGGAGGTTTCCTTAGAGATCTGCTTCCCTGCAGAGTTCGGTTCCCACCAGCGTCTAACGTGCTGCTCGCCTTGCCTAACACTAATGCATCTGATCCAGCCAATCAGGAACTTTTGAAAGGTATCAGAGTTATGGCCTTAATCAATACCCAAGTAAAAGTATTGATACCTGTGTAAAATAATTTCAGACAGGAAGCAAATATCGGTCCACTAGCTTGATCAGGTCGGCACACCAGGGGGGCAGTTGTGGGCTGGAGGTTAGGGAACCAGCCTTGTGACCGCAAGGTTGTCGGTTCGATCCCCTCAGCTGACAGTATGTGACTGAAGTACCCTTGAGCAAGGCACCTAACCCCCAACTGCTCCCCGGGCGCTGTGGATAGGGCTGCCCACCACCCCGGGCAAGTGTGCTCTCTGCCCCCTAGTGTGTGTGTTCACTAGTGTGTATGTGGTGTTTCCCTGCACGGATGGGTTAAATGCGGAGGTCTAATTCCGATGTGTTCAGACACAGCTAAAAAGGTTCATTTCATTCATTTCATATAAAATGATTTTATAAAATGTTGTTGGTGACACTGAGCTAGATTAAAGTATTTACTAAACTAATTTACAAAGTATAACTAAAGAAAGGAAGGAAGGAAAAATAAGTAAACTGAACTGTGAGTGGAAAATGAGCGATGATGAGTGGACTTTTGTCTAATATTCTGCTTAAACAGTAGTTTTGTGGGTGGGCTGCCCTGAGAAATCTAAGCAAAACGCCAGTGGACCACCAGCTTTGCCATCACTATCCTCTCGCTATCAGGTAAAAGCACCTGTGCAAAAAAACAATTTGAAAAGAAGTACAAAAGTATCAAAAACTGCTGAGTGACTTCAGTGGAAATCCAGCATCCATCAGCACAGGAACTGAAGGTGGTATCGCTCTGTTCTCTTTTTGGATTATTTTGGTCTGAAATAAAATGCTTAAGCTCCAAAGCTTTAGTAGCCAAGATGTTTTCACCCACAAAACAGCATGGAATTCATATGAATGGCTACACTGTAACTGTGTGATTGCTTGAAAAGTAGTAAAAGTATTTTTAAATCCTTTGAAAATACTCAAAGTACAAATCCATAAACAACCATAAACATTCAAAGAACACCTTGCCTGATAAAAGGGTTCTTCGGATTGATCCATACAGCACCCAAAAGTGTTCTTGTATTGTTCCAAGTTTGACACCGTAACAATAGAAGAACCCTTTTGGTGCTGTATAGAGCCATTTTCAGAAAGGTTCTATATAGAACCATCTGCAGCACATTCTCCATCAGTCTGAAGAACTTCGAATCATGCAAAGGGTTCTTCGAGTGTTCATGGTTCTATACAGAACCATTTTCTTTACTCAGGAACCCTTGAGGTTTCGATTAAGAGTAAATATATAAAAACTGAGTCAGATGTAAATATTGGAAAATGATCACAGGGAAGGCGGTTAAGTGCAACAAAACATTTTAATGTGCAAAGTCATGCATTTATACTTTAAAATAGAAATATTTTCATCATTTCATCCTCATAACAGCAGCAATGACCTTCAGCAATGGATCGTTTATAGTATGATTGCACAAGAACTGAATTTGATGATTGACGGACCTTTTGATACAAAACACTGCAGAAAAAAAGTCACATCACATCCAGTCATAAAGCAGTCGCGTCCATTCGTTCCAGCATGTGGTCAGCAAACCGTTTCACGCGTGAAATCGTACAGATTTCAGCTCCAGCACACGAGCCAGTTTATTAGAAACACAGCTTTGATCTGGATCATTGGCCACTTTATCAGAAACATCTTCTGTATAGATGCTCTTTGCAGATTTACAGTTAACAGACTGCACTATTTCTCAGACCCTCTACTCCAGCCCACCCTAGGACCACCGCTCCAAAGATTTTCAAATTTTATTTGGGTGGCGGACCATTGTGCAAAAGTCAGAGACCACCCTTCATTTTTTCAATTTCCAGTCAAAACAGCCTTTAAGTTAATTTTTCGTTCAGAAATTCATTTTCATTTTTCAGTGTCAGAAAAAAAATATATATAATCCAACCGGTTTCAGTCTTTAGTGCGTCCACTCTACATTTATTACAGCGTCCACTCTTTTCAAGAGACTCGCTTTCAGTTTCTCAACGAAATCTGCAGTGATATTTTTCCAGTTCAGTCTTAGTTGAATTTTAATGGCAACTACAGATTTTGATTTAGATCAGGGGTCGGCAACATGCGGCTCTTTTCCTGCCCTGTTGTGGCTCCACAGCAGAATCAGATTTGTAGGTAAAAATAAAATAATCCTCCTTTACAGTAAAATAAAGCTCTGCTGATCGTTCAACACAGTTTAACAATAAATGGTCTTAAACTCTGGAGTTAATGTAGAACTGCTAATTCACCCTTTAACCCTGAAGATCAGCGCAGACTGCTGGTCACCATAGCAACACAGACAATAATCTCACCTAGCTAGTGGCTAACAAAACGGCAAAGAGAGAGATTTAAGACAAACATCGATAATTTGGAGACGAATGGACTTATTTGCGTTTATAATCACTCCAGCTGGTTTCCTGATACGTTTAATCTGCAACGAGAAACTGACAAACACTAAAAAGTCACGAGGCTGAAGTCGCGTCTCATTCACCAGCTTCATGTTCAAATTTTCCCATTCCACCTTAAATGGTGCAGCAGTTGCATTCTGGCGCCTCCAGCACCATTTAAGGTGGAATGGGAAAATTCAAGAAGCTGGCGAATGAGAAGCGACTTCAGCCTCGTAAAGTCGATGTTAAGAGACATTTTACAAGAAACTGTTCCACTTTTGCATAAAGGTTTCCTGCCAGAGATGCGAGAAAACGGCTATAGCTGAGCTAAAGCTTAAAGCAGAGCAGAGTAAGTGCATTTTCATTTATGTTTTTAGCCATAATTAGGACATACTGAGACATATTTACAGCCAAGATGGTGAAACACTTCCCAAGGTGGTTTGATTTTTGTTCAAACTTGACAAAATGGCTCTTCTTAACATTCGGGTTGCCGACCCCTGATCTACAATAAAGAAAGCGTTAAGTGCTGCTTATTGAATGGGGGCAGTTTTGGTGTGTACCAGGTCTTCCAGGCAGTCGTTACAGGTTTTCTCTGTAGCTTTTAACCATTTTTTGAATTCCAGTTTTGGAAAGTCCCAGTTTTTTCATTCATTTTCTTTAGACCGTCTCCTTCCTTACGTAAGTGGGTTGCCTTCTATCTAACCTCCTCAGAAACGTCTCCCGAAAAATGAATGTTTTGACTGGAATCATGTCATTTTTTCCTCCCTTGTGCACTTAAAAATACCAAATTATTCACTGGTAACATGCAAACCACAGCATGATGACAATCTTTAAGGAGAGTCCTGGTTGAGTACCTAATAAAAATGACAAGACCTGTACAATCAATCACAGTTTGTGGTTAGTACATCCTTCAGCATTCTGTACGTCGTGTTCTCATCCAAGAATGGATGCAAAAAAAGCTTCATCTTCCCTTCACAAGACTTGAAGGAAGTGTTAAAAATAGCATGATCAGTGATCACTTGTGTATGGCACCGTTTGGTCTGCAGACGTTACAAATGCAAGTACAAATGAATGTGCTACATACATACCAACATACATACAAACACAACTGGCAATAAATGTGGCAATGAGTCTCTATTTAAACTCTCCCACCACCTCTGTTCTGCAGTAAGAGCAGTGGGCTGCGGTCACAGTGCTACACTGAAAGCGCACTGTCTCCAGCTTCCTGTCTGCTCGGTGCCTTTGATTCCTTAAATACACCACAAAACAAGCACAGTTCAACCACTTATTCACTTCCTTTAAGCCCAGGGGTGTCCAGTTCCCGTCCTGGAGGTCCTTTTGTGGCGAATTCATCAGTAACTATTGTGAGCGACTACAATGAGACATTATAGAGAAACGAGTCAGAACTGTTCACAGTGGTGGCGATAGGAACCAGACGTCTGAAGAAATGTAAGGCCTCTGAAATCTCTCTCAGAGAAATGGTTGAGGCTACCTGAGACATGGCTGTACGATAGTTTTGAGAACTTCTTGTCGGAACAAAACCTCAAATCTCCAAAATGGAAACTTTACAGGAGAAGGAAAAAACATACTGTCCTTTTAATGTAAGTCAATGGAACCAGACTTTTCTCCAAGTCATTTTGGGTCGTTTCTTTTGGTCCATTCATCGTGAAATTTACACACAATGTAAAGAGCAACAGGTATTTTCAAATTATGTGAAAAACTGAAAAACAGATATGAGATATGAGGTTTCCTTCTGACAGCAGCGATATCTTTAAAATAACATTAATGCCAGAGAGGTAACAGGTAAGATCTGAGGCAAAATAGTCTCCCAAAATAGACCCCAGACGTCCCCCTCCCAAAGCTCCCTCAGGTTATTACATGAAATGGTTATGAATATGCCATCTGGTACTAAAACAATGTTTTAAGTAGCTTTTTCCTTTTTTCCCCCCTCAGATTTATCACTATTTTACCATCAATATTCCATATAAAACTCGTGTAAGACTCGTGTAGGTTCACTGGTGGTTTCGGATAGTAAATAAAATGGCTATATATGTGTTGTAGTCATGGTGACCCCTGGTTCCCATCATCACCACTGTAGAGAAATCTGAGTCTCTACAATCATCTCACACCGAACCACTCAATGAGTTTGTCCTCTTATTATGTACTGAGTTTGGGCTCAAGTTATCTGGCTAATGTTGTGAAATACCTCTCGAATCAGAGAAAATCACCAAACTGTGCTGGACTAAGGTCCTCCAAGACCAGAGCTGTCCACCCCTTGTTTCAGGAATTCACTGGGCCGGTCCATTAGGACAGAGGTTCTTAACTCCAATCCTGGGGAACCACTGCTCTGCACAGATTTATATATTCTCTGCCCCCAAACTTGATCCAACATATTAAGGGCTTGATAATTAGCTGATGTGTTTTATGGCTGCAACAAACCAACCTTTCTATAATCAATTAAACTATTAAATTTAATTTTTCAATGAATCAACTGATTAAACCACCTGCACTTTTCTCTTCCTTTACCCCAAAACATCTCTGCTGTTTTATTTGTGTGACGTGTGACAATGGATTTCTTCTTTTATGGTCACCAGACGACAATGTCGCCCCCTACACTTCCTCTAGTGTACTGCAATATGTCAGAATAATCATTGTTGTTATCGTAACATAACCCTGTATCCAATAAAAAAAAGGTAACGTTATGGGAGACATCAAAAAATGTTTGCTGTCTGTAAACCGCCAAAAGCGACTGTTTAGCCAAAACTATGGGTTAATTAAAATTTGAATTTAACTTCCTGAATAGGCGAGTTTGTCATTTTATTTGAGGTACATTTTTAATAAAGGTGCAATAGGTGATTTTTTTTTTAGGTTTTGCCCGACAGACCAACTAAAAAAATGAAACGCAGCTGAAAATACTGGAGTTTTTAAAATGACAACAGCACAACTACAATGATGAAGCCCATCAATATCTGCAGGTGAAAAGACAGACTGAGCTAAAGCTGCCCCAGTCATGGTATTTATGTTCGGTTTGACGTGAGTTAATAATTTACAGTAAATATAACTTTAAAGCTTTACAATATAAACATTTCAGTATCCCTTTATTATATATTCTATTCTATTATATCTCTATATTATAATTATAAACACAGTCACCAGCCCCAAACCAGCGTTCCTTTGTATGTTAATACAGTTTTGGGCCGTTTACCTCATGTACACTGTGATACCTGGTTCCATCTGTCAGTACTATGTTCCACATGCCAATTCAGTTGATGAACTCGTGTTTATAGCAAGTATATTAAAATGGGTTAGAATGTGACTCAGCCAATCAGATTTCAGACCCAGAACTCTGATAACTGACAATTTGATGGGCCACATCTTCGATTTGAGGCTTGCTGGTTGATGGTTTGCCATAATTTGCATTTCTAACGTTAATGTAACAAAATTTTAGTCCACGTTTTCAAATGATGTAAAGAAAAAAGTAAAGAAAAACAAAAAAAACAAAAAAAAAACCACTAACTTCAAGGTTTTGCTATGACGGTGACGACAGGAACATCACAGAATTACAGGGTGATTTTGTTTTTAAGCGAATGGCACATATTCAACGTTTTTGAGGGCTAATCGACTTGATAGCTGTAGTGCAGCCCTAAGCGCCGAGACAGAGAACGAGAGACTGTGCAGGGTCGTGATTCTCCGCGACTGGACGCCTCAGCATTACGAGTCCTTTGTGTGCGAGATTTGTTTCCACAGCAGTGTTTTCAGGTTGTTGAGGATGAGCGAGTGCTCCATCTCCATGTGCTCGGCCGAGCCCCTGAGCGCCATGCAGGCGTACAGCTGCTTCTCCAGCTCGTCCCGCAGGTGCGCCGGCACCCCCCGCAGGAGGTAGTCCTTCAGCGCCCCGCAGGCTCTGGCCAGGTTGGGCTGGCTCACCTGCGCCGTGCAGCGGCCTTCGGCGCGGTCGCACGTTGTCCGGCAATCAACTCCATACACGCAGTCCTGGTCCTCCTGGCACCTCTGCAGCCTCATGGCCCTCCTGAAGGCCTCCTCCGGCACCACCAGCCGGCCGTCCACCAAGCGCAAGTCGTGCCGCTCTGTGTAACCGAAGCTGCCGGGCCTCATGTCGCACATGAGGAAGCTGCCAAACGGCCCATGGAAGACGTCTTCCACCAGCTCCAGCAGGCCGATGGAGATCTTCGCCTTCCGTGGCCAAGACGGAGTGAACCACTGGTCCAGGCTGCGGTGGAAACCTGGGTAATATGACAATATATTAAGGCTGGAGATTGTGGCAAATATCGCTGCTGGTGGAACAAAACCTTGTATCTCCATTTTTGCCGTTTTTCAGTTTTAAAATAATTTGAAAATGCATGTTTATCTTTATATTGTGTGTAAATTTCATGAAGAATGGACCAAAAAAGAAATGGCTTAAAATTACTTGGGGAAAAGTCTGGTTCCATTGACTTACATTAAAAGTAAAGTAGGTTTTTTCCTTCTCCTGTAAAGTTATTATTTTTGGAGATACAAGGTTTTATCTCATGAAAATAAGTTAACACATCTTCTACAGAGAACACACTTAAATATGGCTGCAAATTAAATTTAAGAGCACAAATTCTATATATTTACTGAGATAAACGACTTTTCTTCCCACTTAGAAAGTCAACAACACATGGGATTTGACCTGGATGCCCAAACTTTTGCATACAAAGGTATTTAGTTTTTCTCAGATTTACTAACAAACTGGAACAGACACAGTGCACCTGTACAACAGAAAACAAACAGTGGAAAAATTTTAGATACCACATCATTTTTAGATTTTTCAATGCAATATTAAAGGATGAATAATCAAACAACTAGTAAATAATAATTATAATAATGGCATAATGTGCGCTTTTTATTTGTTTTTAGTAATTGTTTGATTATTTATCTTTAAACTTGTACAAAATAAGTATAAAAATCATTGAATTTGTAGTAATTATATATTAAACCTACTATTAAAACTAACAATGCTAAATTAGTTTAAATAAGTTTAACATAAAAATAGAATTTAAACACATTTGTAGTGTTTTTGTTTGTTCTTTCTGAAATAGCTTCACAAAAAACAACAACAACAACAACAACAACAACAACAACAACAAACACTGGAAAAACGAAATATCATTATACAAATTGTGAATCATAAAAATGATTATGATGTTATATTTTCCTCATATTGCCCACCCTTACCTGCAGGGACCCACAGCTCCAGAGGCCAGGGCAGGCTGAGGCCGTACAGAGGGGTGTAAGGGACCCTCTCCACCACGTACAGATCACCGCAGAAGCCCAGCAGCTTGGGCGTGTGCTCACGGTCCTGCAGAACTACGGCCAATAAGACCTCATTAAGCTGCAGCAAAGCCCAGGCAGATTTGGCCTCCGGAAGAGAGACACGGCCGTCTTTGTTGCCATCGGCGACGGTCAGGATCAGGGCCACCAAGCCGGCCAGGTTGGCTTGTTCCCCAACCTTGGCCTGAAGGTCAGAGTGAGAGATAAAGAGCAAAGTTTCATCTAAACTGCTGCTCATGTTCTGACTGAATCATGCGTTTCAGTCGTGACTGGGACTGAAATCTCACTCAGCTGATAAACTTGGCCAATATTAAGATGCTGCAGATTTATTGGCACCTGTGAAAATCTAGTCCAGGGGTCGGCAACTTACTGCCCTGTTGCAGTTTTTAGGTAAAAATAAAATAATCCTCCTTTACAGTAAAATAAAGCTCTGCTGATCGTTCAACACAGTTTAACAATAAATGGTCTTAAACTCTGGAGTTAATGTAGAACTGCTAATTCACCCTTTAACCCTGAAGATGTGCACAGACTGCTGGTCACCATAGCAACACAGACAACAATCTCACCCAGCTAGTAGCTAACGAAACGGCAAAGAGAGAGATTTAAGACGAACATTTTTTAGAGATGACTTATTTGTGTTTATAATCACTCCAGCTGGTTTCCTGATACGTTTAATCTGCAACGAGAAACTGACAAACACTAAAAAGATGCAAAGCTTCTTATTCGAATGGTGCCTGATGCACCATTTAAGGTGAAACAGGAAAATTCAAACAAGAAGCTGGCGAATGAGAAGCGACTTCAGCCACATAAAAAAAAACGTTGAGACATTTTACAAGAAAATGTTCCACTTTTGGAAAAGTTTCCTGCTGGAGATGTGAGAAAAGCAGCTATAGCTGAGCTAAAGCTTAAAGCAGAGCAATATTTTTAGCCTTTACTAGTACATCAGCACATACTGAGACATATTTACAGCCAAGATGGTAAAATGGACATAAAATGTCGTGGCTCTCAAGGTGATTTTTTGCTGAAAGGACTAAATTGACTCTTCTTACCATTTGGGTTGCTCCTGATCTAACCAATAAAGCACCAATATCATCTTTCTGAATAAATAATTAATGAATACTATGTAAAGAAACAACCACGGGGTCTGAGTTCTAAGGGGTGCTTTGAAATTGAAAAATTGAGAATTGAAAACTGGCACTTAGTCAGTAAAGTACTGTTTTAATGTTTAAAACTACTGAAGTCTGTTTAGTTTTTGCATGAATAAAATGATAACTATATTAGGGATGCAGCAAACATGATCTTTTACGGCCGACTGATATCTTTACAGCCAAATTGGCTGTTTGTCTGATTTTTATTAGCACATTTCTAGCACTTTCTAGCCAAACTTGCAGTATAAACATTACTTACTGTTTAATGGGCCAAATTTTAAATCAGTTCCCTATTAAAAATAACACAAATCAAATAATAATAATAATAATAATAATAATAATATTTATCTCTGTCATTAAAATTGCAACATAGATCTGCCAAAATAAAAACAAATTAGTCGACTGCTGATTTTGTGTTCCATGAATCTTGGGCAAGTCTAATCTGCATCCGTGGTCCAGCCCTTTAAAACTGCCATCAGAATCCATTAAACAAAACATATCATATCGGTTGGGCCCTTTTCGTGACCACACCTTCAGGTGGCTGGACACCATCTCCTTGAACTTCTCCACAGAGGTTCCCCGAGTTGGTTTCTCAAAAAGCGCCGCCTCCTTCCTCGGCTCCAGCTCCTCTCCCAGCTCATAATGCAGCACGTCATCCAGCTGACACTTGATCACTCCGTCCACGTCCCCCCAGCTACCTGTATACACCTGACGGTAGTGGACAAAGAGCACTAATTACAGGAACAGCAACACAAAGATGACAACAGTGATGGTGTAAATGGACTTTGTTACTGTCCACCACACGTCAAGCACAGAGAAGTTACTGTACTGATCTACATCCAAGATCACTACAATGAGTCATCACATAACACTTAATGTAACAGTCTATATATATATATATATATATATATATATATATATATATATATATATATATATATATATATATATAAAAACATACTGTAGTATAATATACTATAATATGCTATAATACACCAATCAGGCATAACATCATGGCCACCTCCATTGTGGTCAAATTGTCCATTTTATCAGCTCCACTTACTATATAGGTGCACTTTGTAGTTCTACAGTTACAGACTGTAGTCCATCTGTTTCTCTGATACTTTGTTAGCCCCCTTTTACCCTGTTCTTCAGTGGTCAGGACCCCCATGGACCCTCACAGAGCAGCTACTATTTGGGTGGTGGATCATTCTCAGCACTGCAGTGACACTGACGTGGTGGTGGTGTGTTAGTGTGTGTTGTGCTGGTCTGAGTGGATCAGACACAGCAGGTATTATTTGGGTAAAAGGGGGCTAACAAATTATGCATAATGCAGAGAAACAGATGGACTACAGTCTGTGTTGTGGGAAGAAAACCTTGTATCTCCAAAACCTAAAAAAAATCTATATCACAGCTTTTATTTCAAAATTTATATTACTTACAATGACATTACTGGTATATATGAATGTGTATATTGTGTATATATTTAGAGTCTAAGGTGTGTGTGTATATTTATTTATTTTTTCTCATATAATTTTTGTATATTTAAGTACTACAAGTACTTCGCACCTGTGTAAATGTGATGTGACACTAAACGTGATTTGATTTGATACGCAGAACACAACAAAACAACAGAAGCCGAAAAGAAAGTTTCTGCCATCATGCAGACTCCATCACTACACTCAGTTCACCAAATGATGAAAAAAACTCACACCAAAGACAAACTGCAAAGAATATCTAAAATAATGGAACTCATTGAAAGACCAACACCTCTCTTTCATGACACATACTCTAATCACTTTAATAAGTTTGTATACTGTTTCGTAAACTGTTCTGTAAAGTTTGTAAACTTTTATTTATTTCCAGCTTCTTCCATTTGTACCTCAGTGTGTCTTCAATTTCAGGGCATCACAACAGTTGCTCTGTTGTTGACATGCTCAGGAATGAATTACCTAAATTAAACTGATTTACTCATGAATGGCGGCCATTCAACTTTCTCACTACTAAAAAAAGCTCCGCCGCTCACCTGATTGTTTGGCTTGCTGGACAAACACCTCCCGAAATAGAGCGAGCCTTTCTCACACAGACTACTGCAGGCAGAGCCATCGATCACGCCCTTTCTGTACTTATCACACTGGAAGGAAGGTTTAAGAACGTTAGCGCATCTTTTGGAAATATTACAGTGCATGTGCAATTCAATAACCCTCAATATATACAAATTCAAATGATAACTAATAGGTGGTGCTGTGGAATTAGGAATACTAATTAATATTCAAATATGATTGAACAAAAAAAAACAAAAAACATTTGGTTTCTAATGTTACATTATAAATCAAACCACCTTTGGAGTCACAACATTTTTGTCTATTTTACCATCTTGGCTGCAAATGTGTCTCAGTCTGTGCTGATGTACTAGTATAGGATAAAAATATAATATAAAGCTCTGCTTTAAGCTTTAGCTCAGCTATAGCTGCTTTTCTCGCATCTCCAGCAGGAAACTTTCCCGAAAAAGTACATCAGTTTCTTGTAAAACGTCTCTCAATGTTTGACTTTTTACGAGGCTGAAGTCGCTTCTCATTCGGCAGCTTCTTGTTCGAATTTTCCTGTTCCACTTTAAATTGTATAGCAGTTACATTCTGGCACCTCAGACACCAGGTGGGAAAATTCGAACAAGAAGCTGGCGAACGAGAAGCTTCAGCATCACAACTTTTTAGTGTTTGTCAGTTTCTCGTTGCAGATTAAACATATCAGGAAACCAGCTGGAGTGATTATAAACGCTAATAAGTCCATTCATCTCCAAATTATCGATGTTCGTCTTAAATCTTTCTCTCTGCCGGTTCGTTAGCTACTAGCTAGATGAGAGTGTTGTCCGTGTTGCTATGGTGACCAGCAGTCTGTGCTGATCTTCAGGGTTAAAGCGTGAATTAGCAGTTCTACATTAACTCCAGAGTTTAAGACCATTTATTGTTGAACTGTGTTGAACGATCAGCAGAGCTTTATTTTACTGTAAAGGAGGATTATTTTATTTTTACCTACAAATCTGATTCTGCTGTGGAGCCACAACAGGGCAGTAAAAGAGCCGCATGTTGCTGACCCCTGGCCTAACTGAATGTGTTTTATCTATAATCACATCATGATGTAATTGCACCACATTTAACTGACAAAAAGTCGAACTCACTATGTTGTTCTGACATTCTCGTCCTCGGCACAGCTCTGTGTAAGAGGAGTACTGCACGTAGATCACCCAACTGCCCACAAACACGGTCAGCCACGTCAGGAACAGGTACTTCACCCGGACATGGGACAGGCGGACCTGGACAGGGAACAAAACAGACACTATGATCTACGAAAGAGTGGACGATATGGCAAAAACATGGCATCAGATTCCTTAGACAGTTTCATAATACACTATATGCACCACAATAGATTATTAAGTCTGTGAATAAGTTGGAATGAACAAAATGCAATTAAAATAAAATGAACATTTTTAACAAGTACATTGTTTTTCTGTTAATTTAGCATTTACAAAAATACACTGTTTAAGAAGAAACAGAAGTAGAAATCAAACAACTAGTAAAAATAAATGAATACCATAAAACACCAGCATAATGATCTGACATCCAGCTGGCTGTGTTACTGTGCACTGGTCACTGATGTTTACAGGTTCTCTATAATTGGTCTAAATTTTGTCTTATGATCATTTAGTTGTTCAGTGTTCTAGACGTGCTGACCACACTCATCATACACTCAGAAAAGAGTATCTTGATGGAATGTGTTTATATGTACTTAATAATCTGATAACTGCAGAAAGTCAGATTTTGTCAGTAGTTCAGTCAACGTGTTCGCATGCACTTTAGTAATCAGATAATGGGGAAACTCTGGGTCTACATGAGTCAGACAGCAATCAGATTTCTACTTTGCAACCAGCCAATAAACTCACAGAAGATGATGTGACATAAACGGAATGTAAAACTCAAACTTCATCCTGTGGCTTTTTTTTAAAACGTTGCACCACTTAACCTGAAAATATGAACAAACATCATCTAGGCGATGAAGAATATTTAAATCCTTTATTTCGTCAAGCGTGTATTTGGTTTCAGTGTTGCTCCAAAAGTGTTTTGCTGCGTCTCACAGCAACGCTGCTCACTTATTTCATGTACCGTGGTCTGTTTTCGCACATGTGCAGACTGAGAAATCCGAAAGAAATCAGAGTAAGAGTTCACACTGAGAAATCTGATTACTGAGCAAAAGTCCAGCTCTCTTTATCAGATTTCTTAGTCAGATTTATAGACCTTACTCCGATCTAAGAAATCGGAGTGTGCTGTTTACATGACCATTTGAATAACCAGGTAACTGCAGAAATCTGATTATGATCGGATTACTGAGCGCATACAAATGCGTTGATCGGATTACTGACAAAATGTGACTTTCTGCAGTTCTCAGATCATTAAGTGCATGTAAACGCACTCAGTGATGACATCTCCCATGTGTTGACCTAGTATGATGAAGTCATATACAGCACTCATGTACTGGTCAACTTGAACAGGTATTTTTCCATTAAAGAAGAGGCCCAGGTAATCAGAAGTGAGCATCTTCCAAAACAATTTAAAAGCTCCCAAAACAGTAAAAACGTGTTTGAGCTTAAGAGTCACACATTAAAATGCTGAGCACAAAACAAACGGTCATGAACTGAGCCTGAATAGTGCCTGGTGACAAGTCAATGACCACTCAATACCAGCCTAGTACACTGTAATTCAGTTTCTCTGACCTACAGCCCGAGGCTGAACTGGCTTTCACTGATCACACGCAAGCACTTCACTCAGTAGGACTTAAGCACAAACTGTATAAGAAAATGACCAACATCATTTATTTCATCATTTAAACAGGGTTTGTAAAATCCAATCAAAAGATTTCCATTCTTGAGTTCTAACACAAACTTTGCTCTAGGATGATGTTATTGACTATTTCTGAACAGGATCAATAAACAGGATCGGTCATGGAAACATAAACAGAGCTCTATAAAACCTAAACACTGCCTTTATTTGGCAAAGGACTCGTTTTCTCACTGTTTACTGTGAGAAAACAAATACTCACTTCTGCTAACCTGCTCCTGCTGCAGTACCGCCGTTAACCACCAGGGGGTGGAGAACTCATGTTGGTGGGATTGACGAAACCTGCAGTGACTTTCTGACCCAGTTATGAACAAAATCAATAAAGCAAAGTACTTTCACCATATTTACACATTGCTGCCGTCTCCTTTAACTGAAGGTATATCACTACAAAATCACTTTCCAACAAGAACCACTGTGGCTCCATATTAGTTTAAATGACTTCTAATGTTATGAACTTGTATGATGGGACAAAACCTATTTTAAACCGCTACCTTGAATATTCCAGCACAGAATATGTTCACTTCTGAGGTTTAGAATTAAAAAGCACACAGAACATACAGAAAAAGACTTGGTTTATAATTAGCGCCCATGCAACTGTGATATACACACATACACACACACACATACATACATACACACACTTTTTTTTATCCTTCTGGGTCGCTGGGGGAGTCATTGGGTGGAAGGCAGGATACACCCTGGACAGGTCGCCTGTCCATCACAGTCACAGACAGACAGACAGACAGACAGACAGACAGACAGACAGACATGTACACGTGCACTTCCTGAAGGAAACACAGAATAGTTGCGCTGCTTAAATGGTTAAATGGTTCCCACTTCCTGTTAGGTTGTTGCTAGTTTCTATGGTGATTTCTCTGGTGCTGGCTGGTTGCTACAATGTTGCTAAGTGGTTGCTAGGTGGTTGCTATGGTGTTGCTAAGTGGTTGCTATGGTGTCCCAGGGGGATGCTATGGTGTCCCTATGTGGTTGCTAGGTAGTTGCTATTATGTTGCTAAGTGGATTCTAGGTTGCTGCTATGGTGCTGCTAAGTTGGCGGTTGCTCATTAGCTCCCATGCAACTGTGGTATATAATTATAAGACCTATAATACTACTACTACTACTACTTACTACTACTACTACTACTACTACTACTAATAATAATAATAATAATAATAACAACAACAACAATAATAATAACCTGGAATCAGTGCTAAATGAATGTTCCATTTCAAATGCATAGCATGTTACGGCTGTTTGGAAGGAGGTCTCACCACATCCCTCTGCAGCTGTAAAACGAGTGAGCACTGGATCGTGCAGTCATGTGCTTTCGCGGTTTGTTTTTTGGATGGAGAAGTGAAAGACAATACTCCTGTATAAAAAGTCCTGAGTGCAAAAAACTGATGCACTGACTTGATGTGAATGTGTGCACTGTTTTCCACATGAACAAAACTCAGTCCTTCAGCTGACTTACTTTCGGCGAAAACTGTGTTTAACTGTGTAGAACTCAATGAAGTAAATTCAACACTGTCTCAGACACACTCACTGCGATGGGATACTGAGATTTTGGCTGTTTATTCTGCAGGCTAACCACCTTCCTTCCATTACTCTACACGGAACATGGTTTTTCAGCCAGCATGGTTTCTAAGATTAGCCTGCTGTACCAGCTTTTAGTGGCATTCTTATCTCTGTTCTTACATTATCTCAGGTTTTATTTATTTACCAGCCACAGAACAATAATGGCTGTGGCGTTAGGACCACTGTATTGTCCGAACCAGTACAGAGCAGGGGGCAGGGAGCGGCACTAAAGCTGAAGCCTGCCAGCCTGCGCTGACAGCGTGTGGCACAGAAATGAAATGGAAAGGCAGATCAGAATCAGGTCAGAATGCATTCAGTTCACATTCAGTTATGTGAAGGTCAGTGTCACTGCATTAAACAGGGCTGTCAGTGTTAAAGCCGTAGTTCAGAAGCACGCCTGCCAACCTTTACGCTTTTGTTAGAGTGAAATTTCAGTGGGCCGGGCTGGGATGGGGGGGCGGTTACTGGGAGTAGGGGTATGTGATATGGTGAAAAATAATATATCACGATACATGATATGCATCATGATATTAAATCTCAGAAAAACAGAAGAAGAAGAAGAAGAAGAAGAACAAGAAGAAGAAGAAGAAGAAGAAGAAGAAGAATCATCATCATCATCATCATCTGGGGGTGCTGCAGCACCCTCAGCACCCCCACTTCCCACCTCCATGCCCCCTTGTGTAATTTGGTCCACTTCAGCAGTTGCAGTGTGAAACCAACTTAAACGGAACGAAAAACTCATGAATAGTTATACATACATGTTATAAGCATGACATGAAAGGGAGTTTTAGTTCCTCATTCAGAGGCCTAGAGTGGATCAGACACAGCAGTGCTGCTGGAGTTTTAAACACCTCAGTGTCGCTGCTGGACTGAGAATAGTCCACCAACCAAAAATATCCAGCCAACAGCCTCCTGTAGGCAGCGTCCTGTGGCCACTGATGAAGGACTAGAGGATGACCAACACAAACTGTGCAGCAGCAGATGAGCTATCGCCTCTGACTTTACATCTACAAGGTGGACCGACAAGGTAGGAGTGTCTAATAGAGTGGACAGTGAGTGGACACAGTGTTTAAAAACTCCAGCAGCACTGCTGTGTCTGATCCACTCAGACCAGCACAACACACACTAACACACCACCACCACGTCAGTGTTACTGCAGTGCTGAGAATGATCCACCACCCACATAGTACCTGCTCTGTGAGGGTCCTGACCATTGAAGAACAGGGTAACAAAGTATGCAGAGAAACAGATGGACTACAGTCTGTAATTGTAGGGCTACAAAGTGCTCCTATATGGTCAGTGGAGATGATGAAATGGACACAAAGAGATGTACTTAAATGAAGCAATGAAAGGTGGAGTGCTAAGCAGACGTTGGAAACTATGTTTAGTGCGCTCAGAGTCATCGCAGACGTAAACTGCGTGAGAGATGTCAAGTGTCACGTGAGAGATCGAGTCTCACAGCCGTTGCGTGAGAGTCGGCCCTGATACACTGTAGTGTTTAAATGCCAATGCAAATTTTCCATTTTATGTAAATGAAACGGACAATAATGCATTCTGACTCAGATTTTTGGCTGAGCAATCACTTCCGAAATGTTGCTCAGCAGGTCTGTCTACATCCCATGTGTCAAACCCAAGGCCCGAGGGCCATTTCAGACCCATGGCATAATCCGATCTGGCCCGCGAAATTATTTTCATTTTCTATTAATTTTAACCTGTTTCACAACGGACTGCACTACAATCCCCAACATGCACTGCATCATAATGTGCATAATGTAACATAGCCTACTATAATGTGTATAATGTTGTGTACTGTAGCCTATTTATATCAACTGATCAGGCATAACA